CATACATTCATGCGATCTCCTCTACAGTTGAGTTCAGAAATCGAGGGAAAATATTATTTCCACATCATCATTTTCTGAGTCAACAGCGAGTGATTGCGAAAGACAGTTAAAGTTGTGATGTCAGTTGTTCAATCTGACCAAAAATTTCCGCTTATCAAAATGTTGGAGCAGCAGTGAGAAAATGATCGTGAGTAATATGCGAAATAATCTGGGATGGTGGGAAAGAGTGAGAAGTGGATCCAACGGACACAGAGAGGGAGACGAAGAGATTGAAATACAATAAATAATAAAAAAAAGTGAAGAGTCGAAGCTCCTTTTCAAATTCATGCACTATCGCGTGGAAAAGACGCAAGAAGAATGAAACTCTTGTATTTTTGATCATTTTCTCTGTAAGCGACTATACAAAATTTGTTCTCACATGCACACAAACATGCGCAGGAGGCTTAAATGCGATTGGGGTTTAGCTTTGTGTGTGATGTTTGAGATGAGTGAGTGTATGACTGAAGAGGCGACACAATCAAAGAGCTTTTTTAGCATACATTTATCTCTTGTGTATTTCTTCTCTTTTTTTCTACTTCTTTATCCAACTCTACAGAAATCACTATAAAACTTTATATTTAAATGGCTTTTTTACGCTCCTGGTCGCACAGTGTTGTGCAGTGTGTTGGTTTCTTGCGTGTGTTCACACAAGAAATCTATTTATTTTATGTGGTAGTTCTCTCTAGAGTTGAGTACTTTAAGTAGAGTTTTACCGTTGAGCTGCTTCACTTTTTGCTATAATTTATAAATAGATTTTGTGAAAGTTTTTGGGACTTGTAATAAATGCTCCGGTCTCTATTGCACTCTGTCTCTCCTATTCACTTTAATAGCATAAAGCTGGGCACTGGGAGAGCGGGGGGAGGGCCTATTCTCGAAAATATGCTAATGTATGGTTGATACACAGTCTCTCTCTCTCGGAGATTTTCTCAAGTCCCATTTGGGAGTATGCTGCCTATATGTGGTACATATGGCGAAAATTCAGAAATGCAGCAGAATTATCTGCCCGATGGCGCCTCTTTATTCACCCAGTGATGATGATGATGACGATGAAGAAGAGGTAATGAAGAAAAAAGGTGTGTATTTATAAAGTTATGCCTAATTTTCTCAATGAAATGCCAAATACAGAGGGTCAGACGGGCATTTGTGAGGCGATTGCATGAATGGAGAAAAATAAGTCTCTGGATAATTGTTTGGAAATTTCCATAAACAAAGAAAAGAAAAGAGTGTTTTATACTTGGCGGCGATGCGATGAAAACTTCTCCGCAGTTCCAGATGTTGGAATGAGTGTTGGTGTAAAAAATGCGATTCTTATCACTGGTTTGATTACAAGTTGGCAATTTATACTTTGCCACGGAGTGTGGGTAGAGTTGGAAAAAAGATCATCTCTATGTACGACTGAATTTCTATTCCCAGTTCTCGTTGAATAATTTTTTCACTATACTATTTCGCCGACTGTTTGAATGGGTGCGAGCGAGAGCGCGTCGCGGTGTGACAGGGAAGGGGGACAAAGTGGATTGTAATATGGTGAGAGCGTTGCTTCGGCCGCGATGATAATAAAACACACAGAGTGGCATTCTGTCTCACTCTGACTGTTTGAGAGATGGGGCTCAATGATAAGGGGGAGAACGTGAGCGTGTGTGCAGTTGTACAAGTCAGAGAGAAACTATATAGACTCCGTGTGGCGGCGCGGAGAGAGACAGATACATAAACAATAATAATAAAAACAGAGACTCTGGGCAACACTATCGCAGAGGAGTTTAGATTCGGCGGGGTGTGCGGTGGGTGGGCCGCGCGCGATGAGAATAAAGCTGTGCGACTGTGATATGTAGCCAGGAGAGACACCCAAAAAGCACAGAGGCTCACTGGGGGGCTCACATGAGGTGTGAGCGGGACAGAGTGAACTTGTGACGCGTTATACAACCATAAGAGATCGTTGAAGCATTTGCTTGACGCGATTACGCGATTTGACTAGAGTGCCTGCCTCTCGCTCGCACGGCAAAGACAACGGCAGGGTGATGATCATTATGCTAATTCATTAAAGGGTGTCCAGTAGGTAAGAGGCAGCACTTCTACGAGTTCCATTGTTCTCCATCGCACACCGTCCAACACGCTCAATTCAGCCTCTAATGGAAGACCTCAATATTGTCCACAGCGTTGTGTCACTTGTTGTATATTTTATGTAGAGTAAAGGGAGTATGAATTCAGGGCATGCCTTATCTAACTGTGATTATGAAAATCCGTGGGAAAGCTGGGTAAATTTAATAGTTTCCTAACTGCTCATCACTGTACGTTACATTTGTCTAAGAGATTACAAACCTCGGTGAGTTCGGGACCAAATATTGGCACACGTAGAAAAAAGAACTGTAACTAGCCTAGGGCTATTGGAGTACCGAATAAAATAAAAAAAAGAAGAAGGGAAAGAGGAAATGCTTGACAGATTCAATTAAAGACATAGACAAGTTTGATTCCTTGAGCACTTTAGGTACAAATTTTTATGACTCTTGTATCGAATAGAATAACATTTCTATCGAGATTTCTATGCATTGTTCTTCATAAAGAAAATATCCAATTAATCCCATAAGTCTGTAAGTCTAGCAAAAATGTCGAAAAACTGTTATTCATTGAGCGATTAATGAGAAAATCGCTCAGTTTTGTATTCTCTTCTTTCCACTCTACGCAATTTCATATCATCAAATCGCGAGAAGAAGAAGAAAAAAAAATAATTCGCAAAAGATTGAGCAATGCATGTCTTATCGTACGCTTTTTTTGTTGCTCGATTACAAGCCTGGCCAGATATTTTTCTATGTTGAATTAGTGTTGAGTCCATTAGGGATAATGCAATAACTTTATTGGCATAATTAGGGGGGAGGGCGGCAAAAGAGAAAATGATTCTCACCTTATGCGAGAATATCTTAAATGAAAAATAGTGCGAAGAACGATATTAAGTAACTTTTGGAAAGCTTTCTGTTGTTTACACAAAAAAAGAAGAGTTTTTTTTCTAATTTAATTACAACACCCTATAATTTGTAATCTTTCATCTTATAGAGTGTCTAATGTTAATGGAGTTTATATGTGTTGTATATTGTGGAGTATTATAACTTTCTCGCTATGAGATCATACTTGCGGTTTTTATAACACTAAATTACTCTACTCTGAATATTCACTGTTGTCCGCATGTGTGTTGGTTTCGGGGGGAACATATATATGTTTTGTTGTGTGACTCCGTTCGGAGCTTTGTTAATAAATGTTGTGATATCTCATGGTATTGAGTGCGTCCTACGCATTCATTTCCATTTATTCCTCAACCTTTTAATACATTGTGAATATAGGAATTATTTTGCTTGTTTTTCTTCATCTTCGTTTCATTAATTCAAATATCACGAAATGTAAACGTTGAAAATTATTTCAATTTCTTCTTCAACTCCCAAGCGTTGGCCTTTTATCACGGGGGGAACGTCTTCAGATAAAGCGATTGTTGTTTCTTCCAACATCATGACCACTTCTCTAAGTCCGCGGCATTCAATCTGATGGAGATTTTAATTCTTCTTTTTTTCACTTCATTTTAAATCATTTAATCTCGCCTAGTTCACTCTGTGCATTTTTTACTCCATCATCATTCTTATATGATTGAGGAGTGATTACAGCAATCTCCTAAGCTTGGGCGAAAAGAGGAGAATGAATAAACGAGAATGCGAGTAATATAATGATAAAGAGGGAGAGGGAAGATGATGGGGAAAAAAGTTGAGAGAATCGAGACTCCCATCAGTCATGAGACGATGTGTTTCGATTGTGTGCTGTGTTGGCTGATGTGGATTTCTTTAATCTCGATCTCATTTCGTCATGGTATTGAAGACAATGATTCATTTTCAAACTTCTAACTATTATAGATAGGCACTATTCAATCATATTTCTCAACATACTTTTCTCGTGCTCCCATCCAATATTTATTTATAATTTTCCAGCCATTTTCATGTGCATCAATGGTTAATGGATCACTTTGTGGGCTGTCACTGTCATTGTTGTTTCTTTTCTTGAGTTTTTTTTTCAGAAATTCTATCAAAATGGTGTTGAAATCTCTCGAGATTATCTGCAGAGTGTGCCATTGAGATGGCAAGAAAGATCATGATTTGTAAATGAATGCGAGATTTGATAAGGATTTTTGATTGATATCAAAATCTGTGCTGATTTGTAGTTTCACTATTCACGATATTCAGGCAAATTGAGTGGAAAAACCTCCAAATTCGCCTCTCAATCTCTTTGGTATCTAAACAATGGGTATTACACCGAGGTCGATGAGGGAAGTTTAGCTTGAGAGAGTGAGAAGTAGTAAGAAAAGCGCAGGCAGAGAAAATTTGTGTGGAATTAATGAGCTCGCATTGCAATTGTAATTGCAATTATAGAATGAGTTTGATTTTATATGGCAATAAATGTTAATATCCATGAAGATTTCGTAATGTAACTTCACTCAAGCACATGGTTAGATGGCGAGTGTGAGTGTCTCTAGTCTGACTATGTGTGCCTATCGGTGGAATAAGAGGAAAGGAGGTTGATTCATCGTTGTGCGGTTGTTGTTGTTGTTGCTTCTCGAGTCTCTATGTTACATCAACCTTTTTATATATTATTTATAAAATGGGCGAGAGCGAGAGAGGCTGAGAGTGATGGCGAGAGAGGAGGGAATAGCAGACTGTGTGTGTAAAGAGATAGTGAAGTTAAGTGACCGAAAAAAAAGAAAAGCGAATTATTTTTGCAATGAAATAAATGAGGGGGAGGAGAGGACTTGCGATATGCCAATCAGGAGTATTTTACAGAAATCTTTTATTCAATTTCTCCTGTCTTTTTCTGTGGCTGTGCGGTCGTTTTTTTTTGGGGGGGTTGAGTGATGAAGGAGGGCCGACGAGTGTGTGCAGGAAAGATGAATGGGAATTTTTTCTCATGACTTCTTTTTTTGTCTTCTATTGCAGATAACTCCTGCTGATGGATTGCCCAATGTTGTGTGTAGGAAATGTCGTGAGCAATTGGATATTTGTCATCGATTTCGTGAAGTGGCGCACAAATCACAGAAGAGTCTCGAGCATTTTCTCCAGCTCACCGCCAAATTTGAGGGAAGTGCCCAGGTGAGTTGTCCAAAGACAGTCACACGGAGTGACAAAGGTGTAATTACGGAAGTGGGAATGATATAAAAATAGACAATGATGGCCTGTGTGATGGGCGCGAAATTGTCATGTGTGGTCATGGATTGGAAATCTCACGAAATTTTGCGGGGCCGCGTCTTGTAAGAGTTTTGTTTGTTACAAAACTCTCCTTCGAGTTAATGCCTTGGCCGTACATTTCTACAATATATTTGTGCTTAAGAGAGAGAGAAAGAGAGATTGCTCATAGGAGTGATTGATTGTTGGTAACAATTCATATGAGACGACGTTTGTACTGCTATTTTGCTATTATTATGTACAGAGATAGATTATACATACAATTTATTATTGGGGAGGATGACGATGAGGAGGAGCAGGGGGACGGGAGAGGGAGAAAAAAGAATACAAAGCAGCCTCCCACTGATTTTGTCCCATTTTCTTTTTCTTTCTTTCACTCGTCGCTCATTTTTTTCAGTCTAACACTCAACACGTTTTTTTCTCCTATTCTCCTCATCAACTCATGTATGCGCGGGGTCTTATTGTTGGGAGCGATATATATGTTTTTTTTGGTGATTGCTATAGTGTTATTGATAAATTTAAAATTGGTCAAAAATACCTATAATTAAATTTGTGCGTTGCCCAAGAGTGGCACGAGAAAATGTGTGTTTCACAGCTGAGTCAATTAGGGGAGATTGTCAATTTTTTTGCCCACCACTTCGAGCGCACTCGATCTGGCATTTCTCGCGTTAATCAGCGCTTTATTTGTTAGTGAAACATATAGAACGGACTTTATGATGAAAATTGACCTGAGATATTCTGTGATCGCTTTATGTATGAAACTGAGAGTTGACTTAGTGGGTCACATCACAATGGATGCGATATTTTCATCGTGTGGCTCATCTGGATAGTTTAAGCTGCGATACTGACAATTCATGGGAATTGAGAAATACTGTGGGTTTGAGAGGAGCTGAAGCACGGGCTAAATGTGTTGTTTTTTTTGGCGAAAAAATAATAAAATAGAATTGTAAATAGTCACTTGTTCTGCGTTACATGAATTTTAAAAGGTGATAATAACATCTCCATGGGCGGAGCATGCGAATGGGCGGTGGATTTTAGGCAATGAATGTATTTATTTTCCCGGCCGTGCCTGTAAATCAGTCAAATGATAAAGTTAGCCACACATTTTTTACATCTTCTTCAGCTTATCGTCTTTCTAGCGAAGTTGACGGCTTACTATGTATGGCAATTAAATCTATAGGTTTAATAAACTATTCTAAGAAGATGAATAATGTGGGAATTCTTTCGATGTGTAGAAACGGAGAGAAGAAGAGACCAAAAGGGGTTATTAGATATCATGCTCTGTTGCTGCATTGAATGATATCATTGTGGTGCACATTTTTTTTCGTTCTCGGTGTGTTGATAAAGCAAAACGTGATGTTGTGTATAAATTTCGAATTGAGTATCATGGGAAGTCAGTCGTCAGAGTTCTGGGAAGTTGATGCTGGGGTGTTTTGATGAATAGAGAGTAATTGTCATATTGCAAAATATTGCAATGACCACTCTTCACTCTTCCTGCAGGAGGTGTTGGCGAAATCCACGGCGAAACTGGAGGAGGTTCTCATGAGCTCAGCGGAAGCATCGTTACCAATCCATCAGATGAGACAGAGGCGATCGAATGTGCCAACGCAGCAGTCCCGGATTGATTCTGAGCGAACAGCTGTGGCGGCATTGACAGAGTTGAGCAATATGTCATCAAGCATGAACGCTGTGTCCTCTTCCAGTGTCTCGTCTGTCGGCGCATCGTCAATCACGGTATCGTCGCCATCGACGGCATCCTCTGTTACCTCAATCATAAGCAAAAATCACTTGGATCACTTGGAGGCGAACTCTGTGTCGGTGATACCGCTGGAGAGTGGGAAACAGCGACTCAGTGTGGGTGATGTGAATCACATCAAGAATCTGTCACATCTGCAGAAACTGGAGACGGCCGCCGTGCTCATGGACATTAGCAAGAAGGTCATCATCTCACCGCCCAGCTCGAATCCGCAGTCTCCGAGTCATCATCAGCAATTCCAAAATCACCTGAAACACCAGCAGCAACAGCCTAGTATTACTTCTTCTGTGATAAAGGTGAGCATCAACTCACTGGGTGTTTTAATCATCAAATGCCACGCTAACCATCTGTCTTCTTGCTCCCCTTTTCAGTCGCACGATTTTATTGGGAATTCACTTAAGAGATCAATGAGTCACGAGGAAATTGATTTATCACTGAAACGCGTCAAACTACCACTGAAGTCGATTCCTGAACCATTTATAGTGAAGCATGAGCAATTGGACGATGAGTACCAGCAGCAGGAGGAGAACAGTCTCAATACCGATTCGGGCGATGATAGCTCAGATCCGGGTCGACTTCAGGTGGATATTTCATCGTCCCAGGAGGGCTTTGATGACAATGAGAACTTTGAGGGGAAGAAGACGGCCGCCAAGGCGTCCGAGAGACAGGCTCAGGAGGGCAATGTCGAGATGGAGGCCAATGTGACGGATCCTGCGACCACTCAACTGTGGCAAGTTCTGGCTCAATCATCGAGTGAGTGGCTATTTAGATGTGATTTGGAGGAGAGGGAGAGAGAAGAGAATGCTCTAAAAATGTGTTATTGTATTTTCGCAGTTAATGGTGGAGGCAATGAAGCAACTCAATTGCTCAAGAGAATGATTAACAGCAGCAAATCTTTGGGATTTCCTCTCTCACTGGGCATTTCAGGATCATTAAGTGATCAGCCAATTGCTCTCTTAAAGGTAAGGGAAAATTGTGATTTGCCAACTGTTGTTGTACAATTGAGACAGATGAAAGAAGGTGATTTGGTAAGAATCTGGCCTGGGTGTTAAGCAGTTTGGCATTCTCTTTGCAGGACAAGGTGGGTCACAAGTCGTCTGGCAGGCGCAAGCAGTCCTGCCCGAGTCGCACGCCGCTGGAGAATACATCAGCAGTGGAATCACTGTGCGACAGTTCATCGTTGCTTGCAGAGGCTGCAAATGCCGCAGCTGCAAATCTTGAGTTTGCCTCAGCAAATAATCCCACATGGATTAATTATTCCGATGAGAGATCCAAAGTAAGGCGCAGAGAGTGAATCTATTTAGTGGAGTGTGTCTCCTTCATTCTCTCGTTCTTCTTCATCTCTTTGCAGAACACCACAGCCCAGTCGAATAATAAAAATTTGAACAATCAGAAAGATATGTCGTGCACCAACTGCGGTACACTAACCACGACAATCTGGAGAAGAAATATACGCGGGGAGATGGTTTGCAATGCTTGTGGGCTGTACTTTAAGCTGCACGGTGTGAATCGTCCTCACACGATGCGCCGAGATACTATTCACACGCGCCGAAGGAGACCACGTGGGGATAAATCTGTACGGAAAAGTAAGTATGCCATCCATTAAGAGCTCTCTCTGTCTCGTAAAATTATACCGTTCTCAGGACGCGGTGCTCCATTACGGGTTGGCTGCACTCTCTTATTCCGCTGCCTCTCTGCGGTAGACACTTAATGGTGAAGGTGAAATGCCAAAATTTCCACTGCATTTGCCTGCCTGTGTGTCTGTTTCTTTTTATCCACAAGCGGATAAGGGAATAGTAATTTACATAATCGCCATAGAGATTTTATTGTCCTCCAAAGATACTCTACTTGTATTTATTGCATAGAGTGACTAAATACAAATGCAATTCATGCATATCGCGCCGAGGGAACTTATTTCGGTATCATTTGGGAAGGTTGAGAGAATTTTCAAACTGTTTTTTAAAAGCACGGTTGCTTTCCGCACCATCGCACTTCTTGGGAAATGATGTTGAACTCTCTGGTGTCTTTCGATCTTCCATTTTGGTGTCTTACCTTGGAGACTTGCAGTACATTGTCAGAAGGGGATTTATCATAGCTAATAGTGAACATTTCACGCAAATTTTGACTGGAATTTATGGGAAAAGATCAGTCAAGAGGCGTAGAAAAGGGCACTTAAGAGCAAGTATTTGCGAATGAGTGGGAAGTGGGAGGTTTAGGATTACAATTGGGCGGGGTTTTACTTAACAGAATAATATATGTCTTGTATTTGTCATAACTGACTAAAAAAAAAGAGTCAAAAGTGAAGACATTGCTTTGGAGTTTTGATGTTTCTATGGCATATTTGAGGGTGAAATGTTTAGTAACGAATGTTCTCTTGCAGAATCGAAGCAGCACGACGACTCGGGTGCCGCCGAGCAGGAACGCCTGGAGCGAATATCCGAACGCGGGATCGGCGGCAGCGGCTCTGGCGCCAGCGGAGCGTCCGAGGATGCCTTGTGCGGAAATCCTGACTTGCAAGCACTCAATAATCACAATCTGCTAATTGCCTTAGGTGGTGTGGCTCGAAGCTCAAATGCTCACTTCACAATGCCGGTGAGTTTTGTTGGTTGATTGATGATTTGTTGGCGGCTCTCGTGATGCTGATGTCGGTGTGTTTGTCGCCCTGCAGCACTATTCTCACTTCTTGCGTGCCTCTCAAAACTATCCGGACGTCACTAGTGGGGTGTCGGTGGCGGGTGGCGATCTCACCGCGGACGACAGTGCACCAGAGAATGACATGGACACATGCAACTTGCCCCTGAATCTAGTGGCAACCCAACTGGGTGGAAGTGATTCTTCGCAACACTGACTGATGATGATAAGTACATGACAATGATTCTCTTTTTATACACAATATTCTCCTGTTCTAGTGTTTTTTCATTTCACACTTTGCGTTTTTGTGTAACAACGAAATTGAATGGAATGTAGAAATGAGCAAATATTTCTTTTGGCATTGTATTAATGGAGAGGACGTTTTTGCTGCAAAACTCAAATCTTTCTATAATAATTTTCATGAATACTCAAGTGAAGTCTCTGTGTTTTTTTTTTTAATTATTTTGTGACTATTTAATAAATTATTTAATCGTACTATTTGACAATATTTAATGAGATGAGATAATGATAAAGATATAAATGACGAAAATTCTAGCAATAATGAAAACATTGAAGGTATTATAGATTTTTTTGTCTACATTCACACCATCTCACAAAATAATCTCTCTTTAATTTTGTAACTTCACGAGCAAACTATGCGAATATTGCGCTCTTAATTAGACAATTGATGAATGATGAAAGAAAAAAAAACAGGCTATAATGGACTATTTGATAGCACTGCGGAACTTTACTCTTCTGCCTAAGACTAAATACCTATTATACTAAAAAATTTACAATGCATGTAGATGAGAAATGGAACTCTTAATGAATTTGCAAGAGTAGCATTATATATTCTAATTCTATAAATATGGAGAAATTCCACTATCCTAGCAATTCCAGAAATAATATATATATACATATATATGAAAAAATTGACTCAGCGAATGAAGAAAATTCACACAAATATAAAAATCAATAGTTTTGAGCGGCTGAAAATGCAAAAACAAAACTTGTATATTGACATTTTTAGAGAGTTTTCGAGAAAAATACACTTATGTAGAAATAGTTCTTGATTTTCCCTTGTATTTACTTAACAACAACAACAACAAAAAACATACAAGTTTATAGAGAAAAGAGGGAAATTCTATAAATATGAATGGATTTATAGAGTCAGAGAGAAATAAGAAGGAGAAATTGCAAAACTTATGTATTGAAAGCTACTTAAGAGAAGCCAGAAAAGCGAGAAAGCTAAGAATAAATAAAAACTCGTAGCAGGAAAACAAAAAAAAACTTATATATTATGATGAAAAAAAAACTATTTAATATACAAGGAAATCAAAAACACAGATTAAAAATTACATAAAAGTTAATATTATAAAATCTTGCCTGTAGCAAAACAACCAATTGTGATAAGGATGAAATAAGATAGTGAAGAAAAATTTAAGAATTATTATATGAAAAAAAAGTAATTATTAAACTCGTGAAGGATGAAGAAAAAGAAACATTGGTAAATATTCGCTTTTCTCCTCTTTACTATCTATTATACATTCAATGACTATTAAACAATACAATAAAAGGAAAATCTTTGATACTCAACAAGTGAAAAATTATGATAAAATTAAAATTTCTCAAGTATTGCTAATGAAAAGATGAGGGAAATTCTAAGAATGTCACTCGGAGATAAAATTTTCGAATGGGAATGCAGAGTCACAAGATGTGAGAATGTTACAAGATTTATGAATATATTTTTACACGGTTTTAGAGGTATTGTAGAAGATGTGGAGAAAGAGAGACAGAGAGAGAGAAATGATGAACAAGATGGGAAATGATTAAAGAAAAAAATACCTATTTCTTCATGTAGTGGAAAAAAGAGAGAATTTGTTGCAATGCAAGAAAAACATAAAAACTAGAAAAACATATTGATAATAATGCGAGTAATGTAAAATCTTCCTCTGATATATTTCCATATTTATTATCATAAGTTTAGGACTCCACAATGTGAAGGAATTGCCTGAAGAATTTGTCTTTCAACCTTATTTAACACTACACTTTTTTTCTACTTTTACCCTTACACGTTGAAGAGGCGAAGAGAAGTCACAGCATAGATTTGAAGAAGAAGAAAAAAATGCTCTCTAAAAGCAATGACAGTTTAGAAGACATTTGCGGTTTATCTCGAAACTTTACACAGTCACGTACTTATACTATTATTTTTTTACAAAAATAATTGCCAAGAACATTTTCCTTCCCTTCTGCATAAACTGAGAATGAGACGAGAAGGAGATTTCCTTTGTCGTTCGGTTTGAATTAGAACAGCAATCGCGAAAATTGAATGATACTCAAATTTTGTACTCTGTTTTTTTTATATTTTTGTATTATTTTTTTTACCTTATACTATTTAAAAGACCCTGTTTTCTTCCGCTTAAATCCTAACCTATTGAAAGGTCACTTTAGGATGTTTAATTGATGCGATAAAATTACTTTGAAATTATTTTTTACTTTTGCTTATCAGTGTTAATTTTTTGTATTAGGATTATTCACACTTTCTACTTTTTACACACCCCTTAATTTAATTTAATTAACTCCTTTGTAATGGCTTAAGTAGATCGCAAGATTAAGTGTGAACGTGAAACTTTATAAGATAGAGAGAAAGAGAGAAAATGAGGAAACAGAAAATATCTAAAATTAATGGCACGACAATAATTCGTAGGATCTCTTCTTAATAACACAATTTTAATAAGGAATGAGAGAGAGAGAGAAAAAATTTTTACACTAAAGAGAAGGAGAAGAAGAAAAAAAAACAATTGATAACGTGTAAGAATGTGAAAAGTATGATGAAACCTTTCTGAAGCAGTATTTTTTATTTAATTGACAAGATTTTTTTCTTAATTGATATAATAAAAATATTTAAAGCATTACTTTTAGAGATGGAGAAGAAGGAGAGAAAAAAATGTAATCTCTATTTACTACTTATGTGTGTACTTATAATTAATTTCCTGTACAAACAAGAGCTCTGATCGTGAGATGATCTTTTTGTCCTGTAATCTTAATTTTTACTAAAAAGAAAATTGTGAGAAAAAGTATAAGCAAAAAAGGAAGAAAACCACAATGACGAAATGATATTTATACCCAATCCGTCTCTGCCTTGGCATTAATCTCCTTAACATGAGAGTTATTGAAGTTAGAAAGAGCGAAAAATGGAAAACAAATAATGACTAAAAATAGCTATAGAGATTGTCTTAACAATTATTTGCGTTGTATTATAGTTTTATAGTGTGTCGAAGAAGAAGGCGAAGAGAATAAGAAGCACTCTTGTAATTTATTTAAGAAAATGGAGGAAAAGCTATAAAATTGGAAGGAAAGAAGGAAGAAAAACAGCGAGAAAAATGGAAAAAGCTGAGAAGGAATTGATGAATGAAGATTACCAATACCAGTATAATAAACAGGGTTATTTGATTTTATTATTACTATAAATTATGCTGATTAGTGAGTAATGTATTTAAAAGTGAAGAAATCACAACAGAGAATAATTTTATTGTTTTCTTCCCTTCGTCGCGCGCCTCCGTGGCGGCGAAGTGATTTTTTCTTGTATTAAGCTAAATTGTGTATTAATTTTAAATGTTTAATACGGAAAAAAAACACCCGCACACTTTTTTACACGTTTAATTTTAATTCTCAATGATGAGTTTTTGTAAGATGAAGAATATAATTTAAAGAGTAATAATTCACACGTGATTAACGACATTTTACTGCTAACACGATATTTTTATTTTCAATAAAATGAGAATTTTAAAGTAAGAAATCATGTTTTTGTCATTTGTTTCGATTGAAGATGCGAAGAAAGTTGATGAAAATTTGTTTCCCACGCCGCCGGCAAGTATGCAAAATGATGAATTGGCGGATGTTTCAGAAATCGCAATGAAACATCACAATTTGCCTAAAAATCTAGGCGATTCTGTGGTGATTCATCAACGGAACTGCTTACTCAGTTGCTGCGCTTTTGGACAAATTGCAATAATTGAAGAAAAATGCCTCCTTCGTTTTGTTAAATATTCCCCTCTATTTGCATAAACATTTACAGAATGTCTTCCATGGCGCGTGGCTGCGGCTACGCCATGAAGACAACAAAGAAGATGAAGAACATAATGAGAACGCCGAAGATCTTGATCATCAGCCAGCGATTCTTGCTGACGCTCTGGAAATACTTGAGGATCTCTCCGTGAGCCGCTTCAATGTTGAGCTCCGTGTCCTGAACATTGCTGTCAATCCGCTCCACCATCTCCTCCTGTTCCTTGACCATGTGCGCCAGCTGCTGGAAGATTCCGCCCAGCTCCACGATTGTGCTCTCGATGTTCTGCATGGTCTCCGCGCGCTGCTGCACATAGTTATCAGACTCATCGTACAGCATCAGCTGCTGCTGCATTTGCTGGCGCGGCAGCAGAGGCTGTGATGCCGAGGCGTTGTCTCCCAGGGAGATGTGCACCTGTTCAGAGGACTCTTTCAGTAGCATTCACACGGAACCAAGACACTGGGGAGACTCACCGAATCCTGGTCCTGTTCACTGAGCAGAAGACTTCCCTGGCTTGAGCCGCGCATCGAGGACGGCGGCAGGGAGTTGGTGACGGGTCCTTGGCTGAATTGGTCCCGCCGGGTCTTCTGGTGCTTGAGATTTTCCGTGCGCACCTCCAGGATCTGCTTGAAGTCGTTGCTCATGTTCACCAGCTTAGCCTGGAGAGCCACAACCATGTTGGAGGAATGTGACAACAAGTGTTTCCCACTGCTGGAGCGCCTCTGGCTCTTGCCGATGTCCTGCAGCTTCGCGATCTGCTGATTCAGGGAGTTGAGGTCGCCTTTTATGATGTACGTCAACTCCTGAATCTCTGCCGGTCTGTCGTCGAAGAGAGACTTTCTCTTGGCCACTGAAAGAGGTCGAAAAGGTGAGTGAGGGAAAAATAGAGTGAAAGAGAGGATGGAACTCACGCAGTGTCAGTTTCTCCAGTTTCGTGTACGTGCTCGCGATGTTCTTCCCAATTCCCTTCGCCACCATCATGAACTCCGAGTAGCTCTGCATCTGCTGCGCCTTTCGGGGATCTCTGATGTTCACCGCCCGGGCGATATTCCTGCCCTGCATCGAGCGGATGGCATTGGAGAATTCCAGTGTTCTGTCTCTGGCCGTCATCACGATGATTTCCTCCTCTTCCTTGTCGAGAAAATCAAAATCCGAGGGATCGGGCGCGGTCTCCTTGGGCGGCTCTCTGGGTGACTCCTGAACTGAGCCCGCGAAAGCTTTAATAGAGGCCGACAATTGGGCAGGATTGAACGACCAGGCGGCCTTCTTCTTCTGATACTTGTTCTCAGCCTCTTCCTCAACATTCACGAAAGTTATCACACTGTCACCGGACTCATGGCCGGGAAAACGATGCCGAGCGGACATTGGCAGGACAACACCATAATTTTTAGCTGAAAACCCAGCTGAATTTTCTCGCTTTGCGAAGCTCTCTATTGTCAAGGAGTGTGATCCGTGGAGGTTTCGCTGTCAAACAGATTTCACTCCCGAAATGATGCAACTCGTGGCACAATTGGACAAAACACCACTCACCACGATAACCAACAATCAATCACAGCGATATAGAGGCCAAAATGTGAAATTTGGACGCGGAAAGTGCCTCAAAAGTGAATAAGGAATTTTTTCTCTATGCGACAGTGACGTGACGAGGGCAATTTCCATTGGCGGCGAACTGTGGCGAAGCGCGGGACACAATTTGGGACAGACGTCAGTGAAAGTGCAACAACAAAAACAAACGCAGTTCTGCAGTCTGTGTTGCGAGAGAAATAATGCTCTTTCCTGTGGTGCATCTGGTGCTGGTGATTTGAAAAACATGTGCACCGAGCGATGCAACAATTGCTTCTCCCGATGGCGCATCTGGATACGCCCTCTGCTCATTGTTTGCTACACACTGTTCGCGATAATTGTTGTGCCCCTGCTTATCGTCAACTCCGTCAAGGATGGCTTCACCAGGAAGGACCAGCTCATCCTCATTGGCGGGCTGTTTGTCCTCACAGCACTGCCCATATCGTTCTGGCACATCACACAGCACATGATCAACTACACGAAGCCCATCCTCCAGAAGCACATTGTGAGGTAAAGTGCCTTTGTCTGCATGACTTCAAGCCCTTCAAGCACACAATTTATGAACACACCTTGTGTTTTCCCTTCCAGGATCCTGTGGATGGTCCCCATTTACGCGCTGAATGCGGTAAGACGTGAGTGGAGAGACTTCTGCGCAGCATTCTAAAGCCTTTTATCTCCTTGCAGCTTCTGGGCTTGCTCTTTCCCGCCCATGTCATCTACATGGACAGTATCCGCGAATGCTACGAAGCGTACGTGATCTACAACTTCATGGTGTATCTGCTGAACTACTTGAATCTCGAAATGGATCTGGAGGCGAACATGCAGCTGAAGCCCTCGGTGAAGCATCTCTTTCCGCTCTGCTGGATGCGCCCTTGGGAAATGGGAACGTACGTCAAGTTCTAAGATGAATCATCCTCGCATTAATTAAGACTTCATCAAAATCTCATTGAGTCACATTGATCGTTCGCGCAACTTTCTCTCAGAGCCACGAAATTCAACTTCGTGAAGAAGTTGAAAGTGTCGAAATGCATGAACAATTTTCCAAACATCTCTGTTTCTCTGCAAGAAGAACAATTGAAGTTTCATGACTCTGATTTTATTATGACTCTTTAGGAGTGCTTCGTTTGCTTCCTTTATCAATGTGTTATCACGGCAGCCAAAAATGTTTTCCGAGGCAAAGCTGCGTTCTATAGAGATAAAACATTGGCGAGGACAGACACTTTCCGCACTCTCTAAACACTTTCTAGGTCAATGCTTCACAGCAAATACTGATTTTCTCATCCACCTTTGCAGGGAGTTTATCCACAACTGCAAACACGGAATTCTTCAGTACACCGTCATTCGTCCCATAACAACCTTCGTGTCAGTGTAAGTCTTCCTAATCGCTGTGCCACGGCTGGAATCTAATGATCTCTCTCTCTCTCTCTCTCTCTCTTGGCGCAGGGCCTGTGAACTGGGTGGCGTCTACGGCGAGGGGTTGTTTAGCGCCAATGTCGCCTATCCCTACATCCTGGTCGTGAACAATCTATCCCAGTTCTGTGCAATGTACTGCCTCGTGCTCTTTTACCAGGCCAACAAAGTGGAGCTGCAGCCGATGCGACCGCTGCCCAAGTTCCTCTGCATCAAGGCCGTGGTGTTCTTCTCCTTCTTCCAGGGCGTCATAATCAATTTCCTCGTGTACTTCGGTGTCATCAGCAACATCTTTGGCTCTGACGAGCACGACAGCTACCAGGATCTGTCGGCGAAGCTGCAGAACTTTCTCATCTGCATTGAGATGTTCCTGGCCGCCATTGCGCACCAGTACAGCTTTCCGCACGATCCCTTCCACATCAACATTCCACACTTCAACAGCGACCGCAACTGGATGACCGCCATCACGTCCATGCTGGACTTCTCGGATGTGCAGCAGGACGTGAGTGAGCACTTGGGAGTGGTGGGAAGCTCCCTGAGTCGTCGGCTGCGCGGCAGGACATCGTATCAGATGGCGCGCGGCACCACTGAGCACGATTATCTCATCTCCACGGGCGTCAATCCGCCCGAGGGCCCATCGACCACCTACTACCAGAGCGGCATGAGGAATGTGGCCAACATCACGTCCATATCATCGACCACGGGACATGGGCAGAAGCAGGGATACGGCGCCATAGACTCCACATTCGCCAAACCAATTGCGCAGCCCACGAAGCCCACGTCGCCCCATCGCGGAGCGCCAGGCAACGATAATCCCTTCAACGATGCCTCCGAAAATCTCCTCACAGTGTCCTCCAGGACAAACTCGAAGAGCGACACGAGTTCCACGAATGTGGGTGGAATTCCCAAATCAGACAGCGGCGCCAGTGACTGGCTGAGCACGCCCACGGAGGAGTTTGCGGGCATCGACATTAAGGGCTTGGAAAATGACAGAATTCATCTGAATGAGTGAAGTGCGCTAGGGTTTATCGATTAAGAAAAGAGAATTGTTCAAACAATTTATGTATGACTGATGCAACTGTTCCAGAGATATTTATCCAAAAATATAAGAAATCCGTGATAAGCCAGGAATGCTTATGTTCGCTTATGTTGTGTGTTAATCGGTGTATTATTCGGATGAACGCCGTTACATGTCATCGAAGAGATCATCCACATTTCCACCGGCTCCAGTGCCGGACGCTGTGGCCGTGGCGGCTTCTGTGTCGATCTCGTAGAACACTTTAGCCTCCTCTTCTGTGATTGTGCTATCTGAGTGCTCAGCAGCCGACACGAGGCCCAGATTCTCCTGGACAATCACATCAGTCCAGAAGTCGCCCTTCTTGCGCTCCACGAGGCGGTTTTTGAACTCTGTGATCCAGTCGTTGTAGTTGTAAGTCGCATGCATGACCTTCGATCCTTCCCGGAGAGCCACCATCGCCTTGACGACCTTCTCGCGCTGCAGAACAGTGGCGCTGAAGACCAGACTAGAGATGACCGCCTGAATCTGAGCGCAGAGACTGGAGAACTTCTCACCGCGATGCATCAAGAAGGCGAAATCTTCCGCTGGAGTCACTGTTCCCACCTCAACAATGCTACTCTCCACAACACTAAGTACTCTCGCGGGGTCCTCATCCGCATTTTCCGCAGCTGGCGCCTCGTCGGGATTCACCACAGGCTTGAAGAGCTTCTTGAGCCACAAATCCTTCTTCGTTTGCTGCTTTGGTGTGAGTTCAAAGACACTCTTCACGCCTTCAGCCGCCTCCTGGGCGGCAGATCGGATCTTCTGCGGCACTGTGAGGTGCTCCTTGAGATCCTCACTCAGACTGGGCAGCGGCTGAGAAGGATTCAACGCTCTGGCGGTTAGAAGTCTGTACTGAAACTGCGCTGGCAAATTGAGTGTGTTCCTTTGCGAAAAGGCCTCCTGGCCATCTTCTGTTGCCTCCATTAAATCCATCGCATCGATCAGTTTGTCCACAGCGTCCAACTGTTCTGCAGATGGTTCGGTTTTCTTGTCACAGAAGCTGCTGAAGTGCACATCAACCACACCATCGCCGAACGGGAGTTCAATCATCGAGAGAAAGTCGACGCCCTTCTGCTCGGACGGAATCAAGACCATCATCTTTGGATTGGACCTCACATTGTACACTCTGCGGGCAATCATGACGACTCCCAAGCTCTTCATTGCCTTCACGAGGGACGTGAATAGCTGCGCATCCACTGGACTTGCCTTGCGCGGCAGAATCACATTGCTTCCTGTGCCCGAGAAGAGCTTCTGCCGAACGTACTTCTCCGCCGTGAATCCGATGCACATCAGACACTTTCCGGACGTCTTGAAGCTCACATCCAGATCAGTGTCGTAAGGAACCACTGTCGATCCGTACATGTAAGCCTTGATCAGCTCCTCTGCCTGTGGCTCGAACTGCTCGCCGCCCTTGAAGTGCTGATAGTTAGTTCGCGCCTGTTCCTCCGTGTATTCCGATACCGTCTTCCAGGGCTTCAGATACGTGGCTTTCTTGGTGTACAAAAAAGCTGAGATTTGGATCTTCAGCCGCGATCCAATTGTTAAATCGCAATTCCACGGCATTGCTCGCGTTTTCTTCTGCTGGAAATATGTCAATTGAGGCAGGGCGTTGGAGAAGGTGCAGAAGATTCCATCAACATCATCAATGAGCTTCTCAATCGCCTCTTCGTGCGCTTGCTGAGAGGCACTCTTGCCCTCTTTCTGGCTGAACATCACCTCCTCCTCGGAAATGCACTGCAGATTGTGCGTAATCACGCTCAGGTCCGCTCCTGACCTCCTCACAGCTTCCGCCAGATCGTCTACCTTTCCTCTGAGCGGCTGAAGGGTGCAGAACGTCGTGATGAGGACGATTTGGAAGTTACTCAGCTTCTTTCCTCTGCAAACAAAGTCAATTTCAATTGAAATAATCCAAACTGTTATTGGCTTATCTTACCGCGTCTCTTTCTCAAGAAAATCCAGCGCCACCTCAAGAGCCTCCGTCCAGTCAGCATCCGCCTGGCAAATCTTCAAGTGGTTCTCAAGGAGTTCCAGCATTTCCCACGAAGTCTGTGTCAAGTTCATGGCCTTGATGATGTTCTTGTACTTTGCCGGATTCGCGGCATTCAAATCGTTGCTGCTCTCATTTGTACCCATGAAGATCAACCCCACCTGATCGTCTGGCTTCGCGAAGATCTTCCGCTGCAGAATTTTCTTAAGGCACGTCTTGGAGATGTCAAAAAAGGTCTCCTCGCCACATTTCATCGCCGTGCTCGAGCCACAGTCGAAGACAATCACTGTCGCTTCCTGCAAATTCCGCAGTATTTGATTGGTAATTCGTTGAAATTGTCCTCAAACTCACCTTTCCAGACGCCCCCATGTCTGATTTCTACAATTTGTCGGGAAAACTCTTGAGAAACTGCAGGGAAAACACTGAAATTGCAGAGCGTTGTGAAATTGGAAGACGCCGCAGAACGAGTGGGAAATGCTTTGGGACACCCGACTGAACTGTCACCTCATTCATTCATTCATCACTACTCAATTCATAACGCGTAGCGATTTTTTGTACTTTCACGTACATTTCCCCGCCAAAATTCATCTCAAATCGTTGAAAAACCAAAATCGTCAATTTTTTCATTAGAATTTATTTCATACGCCCTCAAAAGGTACCTTTTATACAAAGAATGGCCTCTGGTGACCTGTTTTATTTCCTGCAAACACATTCTCCGATATCCATCGGTGTCTCACTTGTGATTTTTTCACCCATGGAATTCATGTTTTCTGGTCAATAATTTGATTCTTTTACCCTCTTTTATGTACAAGTAACTTCCACATTGAACAAAATCACCTCTTAGTCCTAAGAAAATGAACATTTCCGGGGCAAAACCAGGTGCAATTTACCTCTAGGAACTGTACAGAGCAAGAAAAAAGTCTTAACGCAAGGTTTAACCATCTACTAATCTTTAAGACATTGCATTGATCTGGAGGACACTACAGACTCACAAAATATATTCACCTACAAAAGGATTTAAGATCTATCGACAGGGTGTTGCGGTGGCGCGTGTGGAGATCCTTGCAAAGAAGGTGGCATTTGAAATAAGATTTCTTTTTTTAAACTAAATATCTTCACTAGCAGGGGAGCTTCATAAAATTTTCTTGTAAATAGATAATCAGTTCCCGAAGCTTTCTGCTAAGTCTTGATGAATTAATCTACAAATTGTTAAAACATACAAGCGGTGCTTTTAGATTTTAGAGATTTAAGACGACACGCAAAGTGAACAAGTAATTGGAATCTCTGAGTCAGTTTCGTATACTTTTTTTTTTGCTTTCCTTTGCAGAATTGTTCCCAAAGAGATCCAGTTAATCAACCAAATAAGGGACTTGGAATACAACAGAGTATCTTAACCAACTAAGGATATCATTCTGGATGGATGTTCTGCCTTTTCATTACATATATTATTATCCATCGTTATATTAATACTTCCAAGATCAGTTTTTTTTTGGGAACTTGAGTGCTCAGAAAATGATATAAGATTAACCTTAGCCTAGGAGACACAAGGGCAGAACCTCCATCCGGAGTGGCTGAATCAGGAAGACACGTTGATCCTCTTCTTTGCAAATCTCCCGCGGCCACGGACAGTGATAGCAAACGGAAACCCTTCTCAATTTCACTGTGCAACAGACACAAAAATTGCATAAATACGATTTTTCCTCTTCCTATTTCACAAAAAAAAAGAGATAAATGAGTCCTAATTGAACACTCTACTTAACATTAGGAGGTTAATCACTAGATTAGCAATTGCCACAGGTCAAGGTGAGGCAATCACGGGCAAACTAGAGCTACTCTGGAGGAGACAATTGCCACTGTCTGCGCTGCTGTTGTTCAGCGTGGTGGAGGCGGACTTTTGCTTGTCGGATGGATTGCAGGACGATTGGCTGGTGTCTTCCTTAAGTACCGCGGTCAGATCCTGGAGGGAGATGGCGAGATCATTGGCGCTCCTCCGTCGTCGCTTGTGCCGCCCCTTGGCCGCCTTGGGCCGGATGTATTGATCGATGGTGAGCGGGTCCACCCACTTGCAGCCCACGTCGCCCGCCTCCGCCTCGTCCAAGTTGCTTTGGTACAGCTTCAGCCTCTCCTCGGGGAACAGCAGGTCCAGGCACACGTCATTGTTGATGTAGTTGATGTGGATGGGCGACGTGTGGAGCATCGGCGAATTGAGATTCTCCTCGCCCGTCGGCGTGTAATACACAGACGCCTTGCTGTCGTCCACGCTGCGCACCGAGTAGTTCTCCAGCATCTTGTCCAGGTGCTTCTGGTGCAGCATGTGGTTCTTCGCGTCGAATTGCGACGAAAATTTGTCCATCTTCGTCTTGAGGTACACTTCGAAGTTCTCATCGAACTCATCATCGTCGTCACTGCGACCGCGGCAGTTCTCAAAGTAGAAACTCGGCAGATTCTCCAGCACTTTGTTCAGCGTCTGCTGCTGATATTTGTATCCCTCGCGGATTCGCAGCACCTGATGTGCACTGAACTTCCTGATCTTGTTTCGCTGGAACACATAATTCTCCCTCACCCAGTTCAGCTGGCCGGTGGAGTAATCGCGCACTCTCTTCACCTGATCATAGTATTGATCCCTCAGCGACGTGAGATGGTGCGTGCCGATGTCTCTGATCTCCTTCAAGTGCTTCGCCTGGCTGCTGTACGAGTTCTGAATCCACTCCACCTGCTGCGTGCAATTGTCCTTGATCCTGTGCACTTGCTGGGCGTAATTCTCGCGCAGCTTCTCCAGCTGCATGCTCTTGTAGTGCTCAATGCTGTCCAGCATCGCATAGATCTGCCTGGCTCGCGGCGTCGCCTTGTCGCGCAGGCAGCAATCGCAGCAGTTCTTCATGCACTTGTCCGTCAGCCCGAATCGAGAATTGATCTTCCTGATCAGCTGCACAATCAGCGTCCCGGTGAGAAACAGCGCCGCCGTGATTATTCCACAAATTATGCTGCCAATTTTCACGCGATAGAAGATAATGGGATCGATGTACAATCTGGAAAGATAGCAAATCATTTTGCACCATTATTATTATTGATTCTAACAAGTGCGCGCCAGTCATTGTTGAATAATCCGCAAAATATTCCTCTGCACTTGCTCAAGAACACACACGACTCACCGGAATGCCCTATGTAAATTCCTTTCCACAAGACATTCCCAAACAATAAGACCGAAGAAACATTTCTTTTGACACACATTCTCAGTGGGAAACTATTAGGAATTGCCAACAATTCCTAAAACACTTCATTAGCAAGCATGAAATAAAGAGAAAAGACAGCAATTCACAGTCAAGTGCTTTCAATTTTTTTTTCTTCTTCCCAATTTTGAATCAAATAAATATTTCATTCAGTTTCACCGCACAAATTTGCAAGCATTTCACACACAAACACACAGAATATCTGCAGAACAAAGTTGAAGAAAGCACAGATAAAATTGCCCCTCTCGCAACCTTCACTACCAGCATAACGTCATTTTATACTACAGTGCTGTAGAGAAGATGAACAGATGGAAGTGTAAATCATTCAATTAGCACACTCTGTTTTCTTCCTCTGCCTGTGAAATGGTTCACAAGACGCAAAATTATTCAAATGACACACAACACTGGCCTTCCGCTAATAGAATCGCTAGAGAAATTTCCATTGGTCTATCGTGGAGGTACTTTTATGATGTTCACAATTAATTTAATTGTGTGTCTATGAAGTAATTCGATAACAGTTTAACTCTAAACATACTGAAGACTTTGTGGCATTTCTAGAGAAATGACAAAGTATAAAAGCATGTAATATTAGAAAGAGAAAAATGTTAATTTTAATTTCTAACATTCATTTTGAAATCCCGTTTTTTTCCTCGTTTTATTAAGGATTTCCTTGATTATTCATTCTCGCTTGGACACAGAAAGCCTTCAAGATGATGTGCGGATTTTGCGATTTGCATACCAACTTTGAAGAAACTCTAAACACTATTTTAAGCTAAAACCAACATTACAAAACTGTTGTTTCTAACTCACAACTGTTTTTCTTGAAAACACAGTTCTTTGACTAAAAATAACTTTCCCGGATGCATTGAAAAAGCACTCTTTTTTATGAATAAATGATGAACTTTGCAGAGAATTCACAAAGGAAGTGGCAATTATGGTGAACTTTCCAACAACTCACCTCACGTCCGAGCTCGTATGGCCCATGATGTTCCAGGCATAGCACGTGTACGTTCCACTGTCGCTGCGACTGATATTGTGTACCCTGAGGAATCCATTCTCCAGCAGGTCAACACTGGAGTTCCTCTGCATTGTCTCTCTTCTCGTGTAGTTCCTCTTCTCCATTGTGCTGTTGATGAATTGCAGTTCAATGTACTGCTGATACTTCTCCTGCTGCTGATCCGGCGCAAGCATCTTCATATCCGGATCCGGCACATAGCGGAGGATTTCGTTGTGAGGCGTCACCCAGATGATATTGGGTGTGGGATTGCCCGTGAAGGAGCACTCGAGGGTAGCATCAGCTTGCAGAAGATGCATCCTGGGCTGTGATGCATGGATCAGGGAGGGTTTGAAGCAGTGCAACTGCTGCAGGACACGCAGCATGTCTCCAGGATAGCCGTTGCGACACTTCAGATCATGCAGATTGATCACGGCAGCATCGTGATGCGTTGACTCCACCAGGATGTCCATTGTGTCGTTCTCTTGCGCCATCAGGCGTCTGATCCACGACACCATCCAGTGCATGCGACAATCGCACGCAAAGTCATTGGCAATGAAATTGACATAGCGCAGGTGAGATAATTTGTTCACAGTGTCCGGGAGGAATGTCAGGGCGTTGCCACTCAAGTCAAGCACTCGCAGAGTCGTCAGATCGCCAATCTCCTTGGGCATCTCCGCAATCTGACTACCCGTGAGGTGGAGAATCTCAACAGATGGGAGATTTGCCAGGACACTGCCGTCCAGGCATGTGAGATTGACATTCTCCCGCATGGAAACCACTCGCAACTGCCTCAAGATGTCTCGATTGAGGGTCCCATTGTGCCTGGCCGCGAGATTCCCCAGCCTCTTGAGCCCTGTGCGGCTCAAGGTGAACTCCCTGAGGGCATACTGATGCATAAGGATGCCATTTGGGAGGTTCTCAAACGGATTACCGCTCATGTCAAGCTGCTCCAGCAATGTGAGCCCACTGAAGACACTTGAGGACAAAATCAATAGATGATTCCCACTAATATTAAGGTATTTCAGCTCCTCGAGACTGCTAAAGGCATTTCGGTCGATAAAATTAATACGATTCTCCGCTACGTTGAGATAAGTGAGGCGACTCAGTCCATTGAATGTGTTTTTGAGGATTGAAACCAAGTGATTATGCTGCATGTTCAGCACTTGGAGCCTCCCATTTTCAATAAAGTGATTATCAAGGATGGACACGATGCCATTGTGGGAGAGATCCAGCATCTCAATGGCTCCAATGTCGGCAAACAACTGAAATGGCACCACTGTGAGTTGATTCCGCTGCAAGTGGAGCTGCTTCAGCGTCTCCAGGCCACGAAAGGTGTGTCTCGGAAGATCCTTAATCACATTGTCCGCCAGATCCAGCACAAGGAGTTGCTTTAAGTACCCAAAAGGGCTCCAGGTGGTCGTTGAAATCCTCTCCAGGTGATTTCTGGCCAAGTGCAACTCATTCAGCGACTGTAGATCCATAAAGACATTGGCGGACACGTTTGCTATGCGATTCCCAGACAGATTAAGGATCTTCAGTTTGATTAATTTGGCAAAACTCCTCTCAGGCACGCGCGCAATGTCATTCTCGCTGAGATCCAGCTTCCGGAGTCGCGAGAATCTCCTCTTCTCGCTCATCAGCCCCTCAAACTGCCCATCAGCGACTCCACTGCCGGTCCACACCAGCACCTCCGTCTCGTTCTCATTGTTTAGGCTCAGAAGCACCTTCTTGTCGGCATTCGCGATGTCTCTCAGGATAATCTCGCTGTAGGATTGTCCGGCGAAGAACCGCCCAGTGACGTCACTAAGCGTGGCATTGGTGCAATAGAGAATCCTGCCGGAAGTCGCGGTTGTCGTGCAGTGCCCTAAGGCGCCACTGCACATGGACAGGAGACAAATTGCCAATATCAGGACAACACATCTCTGTTGTCCAATTCCCATCTTGCGCATAAATTAATCGTATTCACGGTGACAATACTAGTCCATTTAGCCACTATTCGGTGATGATCCAGAAACATTTCGCAAGACACCGCGCGGAGGGGCTCTGAAAGAGGCACAAGAAAATTCATATTGCATAAGAGCGTTGAAAAACACACTGTCGCTCGTAAACATCTATTGATATTCACAAAAGCCCGAGTAAGTTTCACACTGAGGTCGAGGGAGGAGATTGATAAAGACTGCTTTTATCTACACAACAACTCTACTAAATTGAGGAAGAATGCGAAGAATAGATAGATCAGACTAACAACTTGACTTCAATGTGAGTCTTTTTTGTACATTTGCCTAACTGAACCCAATTCACGCTGGCTAAAATAAAACACTGACCAGGCAAAGTGCAAATTTTGGAGATTCATAACTAATCCCAAGACATGGTTATGGCATTCGATAAGGCGTTTTTATAAGACACTGTCTTTTGCGTCTCTTCGTTTGATTTCTTATCCACTTCGCAATGTCGTAGAAAATGTTACGTCGAGCAATTAATGCGTCGTGAATTTCCTAAGATTCTTCAGAATGAATCAAATGAAAGCTTTCAGCACAAAATCTCTCCAATGTTGCGTTATTAGAGTTCCAATCTAACTCTGGAATCTGTGTTAGATCGCAACAACTAGAAGAGTTCGTCATATCTTTGAAGATAATCTTGTAAACAAAGAGGCGGACTTTGAAGAGTTATAGAGACCAATAAAGAGCTTGATTTGGAAATACTTCGAGTACTCCAGATTATATTGCCAGCAATGTTTTGAAAAGTTTCCCAAACAACTTCTTCAAGTCTGCTGGTTAGTGTTAAAACTTGTGGAGTTTCATTTAGAAACTTTCAAGCTGATGTGACGGATTTCATTGGAGAATTCCCCAAAAATTGGTAAATTGGCTCATTTTCCGCTTGAGGGAATATTATAGAGATAAATTTCAGCACGAATCAGCGAATTTGGTGAGAAATTCTCTCTCGTCCAGCATAATTGCGTTCCATGCAAAAATATTCCTTGTGCAGGAAAATACCTGTGTTGGTAATCCTGCGAAGAAAAGAGCTTTTCCGTTTGCCACGTCCACACAAGTGCCGAAGGACACGAAATACCAATTCATTTGGTCGAAAATAGCGCCGCAGTGGTAATAATTGATGAAGAGCGATCAACGAAAGGCGCTTCTCCTCGATTGGGAGTCAATATGGGACACGCTCCTGCAGTTTGGCTCCCATTGCCCACACTTGACCTTGGCGGCCGATCAACAAGTCTCCCAGAAAACAGCCCACCAGCCCAATTACTCGATCCACTCGCGGGCCACCTTTGGCGACTGCTTAGCGCGCGGGCACTGGCGGAGGAAAAGCCACAAAAGTGTCGCTATTTGCTGAAAATGCTCGACCAAGAGACTGGAATTGTGTTACATAAATCCCTCCTCGCCACTTTTTTTTTTCTTTGCATAACGCACTGGCGAGTGGCTCCGATGCCCCCCAAAGAAGTGCCCAATACACGGTCGACCATGTAATGGTTTGGCAAATCGAGAGCAAATGCAGTTTTGTGCAATTGCGAAGCCAAATGGGAGGAAAAGTTTCTCTGCAAAGTCTCAACTGCAGGGCAATGCAGAGACACTCCGTGGGGTCTCCCTTATGTCGCCCCTTTGTGGCCCCATTGCGCCCACATGGCGTACTTACGGGTGCTCTAGTCGCTGAAGTAGCCCATAGGGATGATTTTGCATATGCTGCAGTTGCCACTGGAGAGGGTTTTATGCACAATTTTTAAGATTTTTCACAGCACTACGCTTGCACGCACCACTCTAGCCCACACATAAAATACAAGTCCATCCCATCTGACACTCCACGGCGAACTTTTGGGACAGCCAGGGTTTCAATGGCGAATAATTTCCACTGAAATTTTCCACGAGGGAATTAGACTAAAGGAAATATTTGTATTTTATGACACAAAAACTGATTTAAGAGTAATTATTCTTGAAAGAGTGTATAAAAAATAAAAATTAAAACCACAACCATTTTTTAATTCGTAAAACCGTGTGAAATTTGCTAAAATGATTGCAACACAATTTAATTTAATTATCATATTGTGTGTAATCAACAATTTTCCAGCAATTCCTCATAAAAACAATTTAAACCATTTTTTTTGCTTCTTGCTCGTTCAGTCGATTTGAAAAGTTCGCGGCGAGCGCGCAACAACATTTCGGAGTGTCCCACATTTTCGGACTGCCCAGCTGACATTCGGCAGAGATGTTTTGCGATTGCGAGACGCAGTGAGAAAATCACGGAGATTTTCCTCCCCGAATAACGCTTTCAACGCAGCGCTTGTAGTGCAAAGTAGTGGCTGAAATCATGGATTTTCGTGCCATCATGTCCTCATCATTTGTCCGAGTGAAGGTGAGTCACTGGAGATGGTTGAATTTCTTCTCTTTCGCAACATTTGTTATGCCTGGAAATGGTGTGCTGATTCCTTATTTGTACTCCTGCAGCTCGTCACTTTTCTGCACCTGACACTCATCTCGAATGCCCTGCTGAGCAGCTGGACTCCACCCGCGTACCTCTTCTACAATGTCTTCTTCATGGTGAGCTTATTCTGGGCGCTGCAAGTCAAAGAGTCCGTCGACGCTGTTTACATGGTGAGTCAGAAAGATGACTTGCTGTTGGATTGGAAATTCATGATGCACTTCCCTTGCAGGCCACACTCATTGACGCTGTTGCTTTCTTTCTGGATCTCTTCTGCATCATTGGGTACTTCTCCGCCCACAGTGAGTCCCCATTGTGCGCCCCATGTGGGCCACCATCGCGATAAGGCGACTTCCTGTAACACGTCTCTTTGTTTTCTTTCCACCTCAGATTGGTGGTCAGTGACCTTTGCCATCATAAATTTGGTCGCGAGGCCCTTCTCAACCCTCCTGCTTCAGCGTGAACTCACCGAGAGGGGTGGCAGCCTCAATCCGGCCGCGATTTTTCCAACCACTGAGCAGCGAAGTTATGAAGATATCGATCGTACGACCAATCAGAGTGTCCCCACAAACCAACAACCCCCAACAACGGTCACATTTTAATGGTTTGGCAATGGGAAAAGGCACCGTCACGCGGAGGTGAGCCACCCCAGTCTCAAAACAGCGCGCAATTTGCCCGGGAAGGCCCTCAGCCGGCGATAAGACTAGCCAGACGACTAATGAATCACAGAGTAATCTCTCCATCAGTGGTGATCTGTTAATATTTCCTTCTAAATTGTTATTTAATTGTTTCCGTCTCGGGCCATTTATATCACCTTCTCGGAGAAAATTGTAGATAACAAGATGCACGTAATCTCATTGTTTTTGTTCCTTTATCATTTCTACGATGACGACAACGCAGATTAAACAACTCAAGAAACGAAGAAAAGACACTTGAATAAGAAACTTTTTATTATTCTTATCTAGACCTAAAGTGTTGTACTAATGTTGCTTTGTATATTAAGTGAATTTAATATATTTGATTAATGTACTCTTACCATGAGCAATGTCACCCTTCGGCTAATGGAAAATCAATTGGAAACCGGTGATTAAGGGAGCAACTAAGAGGAGCGTGTCACGTATTGCATGTCATTGCAAACTCATGAATTAATATTTGATATAGAGGTGCACTTTATGGGCTTCTATGGGCATGAAAGATGAAATTTTCTATCATATAACAGTCACATGTCAACATATCAAGCAGAATATCTCACTCTTCTCAATAAATTAAGTCTCTTCGGCTCTTGTTGTCGTCCAAGAATTCTCTCGTGGCGACAATTGCCTTGGAAACAATGGCAAAAAAGAATTCTTGAACCTCATTCCCATGCTACAATAAAAGGTTTTCCATTTTCAAAAGTCACACAGGTCACGATAAAATTCATTTTTCTATATTTAATGAACTCAGGCAGAGTCCAAAGTAATGACTGTGTTTCCCTCCTTCCCAAGAGGGTGACCAATAAAAAATGTATATGCACTGGAGTTTTGGGCTGAAAAGCTGTGGAAAATTGGAGAGTTGAAAGTGTGTGAATATTTCCATATGCAGGTGACCACATCGCGTGCCAGCCTGGCTTTGTTTTCCTTTCGAGGAGGGACCCACCCTCTCAAAAACTGCCCCACCGCCACTTTCATTAATGTTGAATGTCTTCAGAGCAACCAGAATTGTGAACGCATCGCAAGCGGGATGGGAAATAACAGTGGGAATTGCATATCAATTAAATTCTCTCGTCAGCCAATCTGTGAGAATTTATTGAGCACACAATCATTGACAGACACGTGATGGCAATTCATTGATTAACTCCTGCGTCATCACAATGTGCGATTCGGTCATTACCTACCCTTTCCTGTCTCTCAGCAGCAGCAGAAGAGAATAGGCAGAAATAGATGAATGAAATACAGTTTCAATGCAACATAAATAATTCATTTGAAGGAGCACCTCTTTCATAATCACGATAGATAAATAGCCAAAGTCATTTTCACGTAAACTGTCTCGCCTTCCTGAACTCGAAGCCTCTTTGACTGTCCTGAAGACATGGCACTTGGACAACATTGAAGTACACGGTCGCCATGAACTGGGAAGTTGACGTGTTGGTCTTCTTCAGGCACTCAAACAGCATGTCATCGCATATACAGTGAGATCTGGAGGAGATTTTGAGACGTTAATTAACCACAATGTTGATCATTCCCATAAGAATCGCGAGGAAAATATCATCTCAGGTGATTTTAGCGAAATTCCCAGAGATTTGCGAGAGTATAAAAGAATATTTGAAATGGTTACTGAAGCGAAAGGAGAATCGCAAATGAAAGCATGGGAATTTTCAATGAAAATACTTATTCTGGTAGAGTTGAGTAACATATAGATTGGAGATTAATGAGTTATTGAAATCAATCCGTAAAATTGTGTTTTTTGGAATCAAAAAAATCTTTTAATGTGGTGAGAAACATTGAATAGAAAGTTTACATTAACTCTTTTCTACTGAAATCACAATGAAATTGATGTCGTAAATGATAAGCAAGCGATGCAAAAATTGAAATTCAATCAAATTATAGTGCAATTTTGCATTTTACTACTTTCTGCACGATAAATTTAGAAAGACTTTTCGATTTAGAGCACTAATCATGGCTCGAATCGGCGAAAACTCCGAGTAGCAATCAACTTTGCATAACTAATGTATTTAGGCAAATCGTGACTCTCGCATCTACAGCTCTGCTCTTGTATACTCACTTTGTGTAGAGGGATTGATTGTTGAGATTGTAACGCTTCTGATATGCGCGCACTTTCACTGGACAGAGATCGTGAGTGCGACAGCACATGTCCATTGAGGCTTCTGTGCCGAGATCGTGGTAGTTGTTGGCAATGTCTCCAGTGCCGCACCACTTGGTGCCCGGCAGGATGCCGGACAGGAGGCTCAGTCCGGCGCCCGTGAAGTAGCCGGACTGGTGCTGACGCTTCGTCGTCTGGTCACTCTCAGACCTCCGTTTCACTTTCCGCACGTAATCAATCATCTCGCACTGCATCATGAGGCGCAGCATCTCCCGGAAGTTGATCTGCAGCGGCCGATTCACGTTGGACAGCTCTTGGAGCGCTTTGGCGCCTTCGTCATCGTTGCTACGAAAAGTAAAAACCATCAGAATGCTAGAGATCTCACACAGAGCCATATGGAGAGAGCGCCGAGAGCGATCGAGAGTCAAGATCAAATTCTTCTTGACCCACATGGCATTAGACGTTTTCGATAGTGAGGGCCCGTGGAAAAGTGATTAAATAATTCAAATGAAGCAAATGACAGACTAGTTCTCGCGCGCTGTCGATGGCCGAAAGTGGGTCATGCAGACGACCAAACAAGTCTTCCAAGCTCTCCAATGGCCAATGAACTTCCTCGCCATGCATCATTGGACGGTGAAGCGTGTCCAGCAAGCAATAATTTGCGTCGTCGCCAAATTGACTGTCCCAGAGCAGCAATTAGTCATCACAAAACAATGCCTAGATCCTTTCTAGGTCATTGCTGCATAATGGCAAAATTGCCCAAACACAGCCATTTTAGTCACACGTGAGAAGGGATGCTAATTGAGTGATTTGTGGACCTCATTTCGTCGCCACGAGAGGAAGCAGTGACCTTGATCTCATGTGAATAATGGCAATGATCGCTCGATCAATCGCATCATTAGATGGCTATTATGGGCAAAGGGGCTTATCACTCCGGCTATGCTGAACGCAACCTTGCGTGTCGCTAAAGTAGTGTAAGCACAGCAACAAAGTTTCATGTGCACTTTGGTGAATGTGAGGCAATTTGTTGAAACAAAAATATACCATGTTATGGTTTAAATTTTAATTATATTTATAATTATCAATTTCGTGAATTTTATGTCAATTTATTGTGACAGCTGATATTCAAATTCAAATCAAATGTATTCTTAGAACTGAAGAGAGCCGAAAAGACATGATTAGCATGTCAAATTTAATGTAACTATACTTAAAATCAATCAGAATGAAGAGTCTGGAGAACGCTAGAAAATTAAAATCCACACAGCTTAAGTTAATCAGACTTAACTCAACGTGTCTTTCGCAGAACTTGCGAGACAGTTAGATTTTATTAGGTTCGCCAATTAGTCTTCAGAAAGATTTCACAATCTCATCAACTTCTCAATGATTTCCTCTTGTCCCTTGTGGCCAATTTCATGCAAATTGAAACGTGAAAATGTGCAATTTTTCACACAGTCTAACCATTCTAAAAACGAGTTCTGGCGTCAAACGACTTTTCAAGACCAAATATCTTCATGCAAATAAGAATTGTTTGCTCTCAATTTTCACCTCCTCTTAATTACACTTAATTTTAACTCTTCCATTAGATATTTTAAGTATTCACCTTATGGTTTCTTCTTTGGCATTTCCACAATTTCATGAGTCGATTATTTCTGAATCAAAAACACATTAAGCTCGTGCAGCTAAACTCGACATTTATCACAATCATCACAACAAGCTCTTGCGTAAAAAGAGCAATTTTGGGAGGGAAAATCTGAATGCATGGCACTTTTCATGTGTTATGTCATAGGCGAAAGCAGTGTTGAAACAGAGGTGTAAATAAAATTTACAAAATCTGTGAACTTGAACCAATAGTAGATTAGAAATTCACTTTCTTTCCGAAGAAAATTCCATTTAATTGGATTGCAGCTCAGAGTTGGGCTGTCGATGTTCAGCTGCATTCCCAACTTATTCTATAGTAATGGTATTACATTATCTACGCTCTATGCATCAGCAAATCCGTCAGTCTTCAGCTGCTGAAGATCATTTTTCAAGCGAAAGACAGACGATGAAATGTAGAAATTTCACTGCTATAACTGAATGATGATGATGCAATTTGATATGGATTGATTTATTCCCACAAAAAATCGATTCTTCTCCATGGAAAAGTGCTTTCATTTTCTCTGTGCTTTATTGTCTTGGCGCCGAAGCCACAAAGAGCGCTCGCTGTTAGTCAGTTGGAAAGTGTGTTATGGCAGTAGTGTGGCAAAAAAACAGTGACGATTTGTTCGACACCTACAAAAGCAGCGCTTTGCTAGTTTGCTTCAATCGTGTGCTGAAGAGTCTGTTAATATTTGTGCGATATGTGTGGCAAATAAATATAAATCCTTCCGCGTCATGAGAATCACAACAGCTGGTGGCAAATGCCATTTCTCCCCGCATTGTAAATATCACAAATTCATGAATATTTAATGCCAGTTGTCACTGCAGATCCGCGATTTCTGCATCGCGTTCAGCTCTTTCTCCTTCTCAATTAAATCAGTCAGTGGACAATTTTCTCATTCCTGTTTCTGGGCTTAATAACACCGTGCGATTAGCTACAATTTTTCCCCTTTTTTCCTCTTCAATTTGCCATGCATTTTGCCTAACATCTCCAAGAGTGGACAAACCAGTCCATCGGCGCAACGAGTGTATTCGGAAACCGCGAAAGACACTTTTGCACTGCCTGTCTTGAATTTTATCGTGACACGTGATTAGAATTTTTCACATTGTACGTGTGAGATAATGAGACTTTTTGCGGCGTTTGATAGCTTCGTAGCTGCAGAGTTGGAGTCTTTTGTAAGAGGCGTTGTGGCGTGAAACCAGCCCGACAGAGATGCACATCATGATAGATAAGAGATCTCAAATGCGCAAATGCGAATTAACATTTGCAGTGTATAAAATTACACATATAAAAAATAAAAATATTTTCTATTTAATTCTCTGGTTTGCTCTTAAATCCTTTCGTTTCCATTTCTTGTATAATCTAACAGAGTTTTATTTTAACCTTTCCTGAATAAATTCCATCTCCCATGAGTTAATAAACACCTAAATAAATATTATCGAGAACTCAGAACAGCTATAAATACAATAAATTGTATGAAGCACTTGATGAAACAGTTGGAAACCTTGGAAATAAATAAAGATTTTAAGTTTAAACAAATTCCTGCTTACAGAACTCTATGAATTTTTCTATCCAGTATTGATACATATTATTGAATGTCCCGTGAAGGACAACTGTGCTTTATGCTGTCTTCCTCTCTCAGTGTGCCGAGATCGAGGAGTCGCATTCTCCACAATTCCCTCTTTGTTGAGGGAATTGTCCTTTGGAATATGTTACCGCGTGAGTGGAAGAGGGAGCTGATACTCCAAAGTACCGTCACAGCTCCTCGCATATTGGATTGCGCCTAGAACCGCTTTGTTCTTTTTATAAATTATAAATTAATCTGTATCCGAGAGGACAACTTGTCCTACTACCGAAATTAAATATCTATCTATCTATCTATCTTTATTTATTCAAAGTATTTGCCCATTGCATTAGAACGTAATTTCATATTCACTTAGGTGGTAATTATTAATTCAGCATTTATAGAAATTGCGAAACAATCCTTTTCATCAATTTTATAATAAATTTTCTGTAAAAATTCTCGAAGTATTCTTCCAGATGTTTGTTTCGTCATGATTTGTGAAATATAACTAGAAATCCAGGAAGGAAATCTACCAAATCTACTTTATCTTCTTTAATCTTTATCTTTACTCTGAATTTACTTAAAACTCTGGTAAATCGAGTGATAATTTTCTACATCTTGATTTTTTATGTAAAAGTTGATGTAAATTCCTAAACTCTATCCAAAACTATAGATAGATTTTGCCCAATGCTCTCAACTCTGGACCTGAATTGGCCAATTTTTCTGCACCACTTGAAAATTTGTCACCGCGTGAAGAGGTGACAAAAGGAGGCGCAAGAGGAAAAAGTGAGAAAAGAAATCGTGTGCTGTATGTGCGCAACCACTTACTTAATTTCTATCAATTCGCAGCCCAGCAGCGTCTTCTGTGGTCCCAATTCGACGATCGCAATCGTCAGATCGTGGTGGTAGATCATGACGAGAGAGTCGTTCTTCTGCCGGACGCCACTGGCGGGGCCGAGAAAAGAAGAGAAACCCATATTGATTATTGGGAGATCGGTGAGAGCGTCGCGATCGCGAGCGGATGTGTGTGGCAGTGAATGAGGTGATCTTACGTGTAGTTCTTCATCTGCTCATTCTGCGCTCGCAGCTCCACGAAGTGCGTGAAGGGGCGCAGATTCGTGAGCGCGGGCGGCAGCTGAAAGGTGAGCGTTGGTTTGGCACGTGCTGTTGTTGTGAGGAAGGTGAAGCCGCCGCACAGGAGGAGGCACACAAATTTAACACTTTTGCTCCAGCGAGACATCTTCCTCACTCTTTCACATTCTTCAAATCATCCACCTCAATGTCAGATCACTGGGACGTTTTCCAATTCACTGTTCGAGAGTCGCGACAGCACTGGTGCTCCTCTAATTCATCACTTTTCCCATAAATATTAAATTTCTTCTATCGAACGAAAAGCACATCAATTCGAATCACTCTTTAATGTAAGAGGCATAAAAACTTTCTCATTGATTTCCAATAACGGCCGCACACACACTGTCTTTTCCCTGAGCAATTTCCCAGTCGAAACCTAATTTACTGATGACTCTAGAAACTGCCGCAAATTCTCGATACTCGCTTTGCTTGTATTTTCTCTGTCACCGTTTAAGTCTTTCCTCAATGTTTTAGTATCTATTGCACTTTTCCATTCTTGCTCGGCTCGCTGCTCCGCCGCGACTGAGCTTGGCGCGACTCTCCAAGTAGCCACAAGTGTGGCTCGATCGTCAGATGAAATATTCAAAGTCGCACAAGGTGTTCCACCGTGTGAACGTTGCACAACACACGATGGGGTGTCTCTCAAAATACCACCGATATTAACTATCCAATTTTCCTTCAAATAGCAATTGATGAATTTTATAGCAGATATTGGAATTTTTCATTCGTGCGGCAAATCGATGAAAGCCGCTGCAAATAATCGATGATAGGCAACGTCTTACGTCTTTCCGTGTCTAATTAAAACTCTTTAAATCATAAAATCAAATTTATCAGGGCGAAATCTGAAGAATGTTTTCTGAAAATACTTTCAGCATGTTAGTGACGGTTGAAATTCATTTCAAATACTGTGTGGAACATATTCCACATCTTCGTTAACTTCCAATGGTCCGAGTGGAAGTCATCGTGACACTGGAAAGCCGAGTGTTTTGCTCTGCATCGCAAAAATCACGGGGGTTTTCCTCAGAAGTTTACACCTTTTCACCGCGAAAACGCGCTTTTCCTACCATTCTTGGATGGTAGTGTGTGTTGCGAAAGTGGCCTCGTCTGCATAGCGATATATGCATGAGAGAGGAAGTGTGGGAGATTGAGCAAGAGACCGCAACACGCATCCCCGGAAGCCACATCATTAGGTCAAAGTGAGAGAGGCACTTTCACCGCAATTATGAGCAGAAATCGAGGATCAAATCCCGGACCCGTGCCGGATCGGTGGCTTCACTGTCCCAGGAAGTCGGATGGTTTCATAGCGGACAGATTTCTGGCATTCAAGACGCCCCTGGACGAGCGCTTCGACTCCCAACTTCCCGTCGAGGCGTACTTCTCGCCGGAAATGGTGATGCAGAGCCTCCGCGTGCACAAGAGACGCTTGGGCTTGTGGATTGACCTGACCAACACCACGAGATTCTACGATCGCTGGATTGTAGAGAGTGCTGACACAGAGTACGTGAAGCTGCAGTGCCGAGGACACGGAGAAACGCCATCGAAGGAGCAGACAATTGCATTCATTGAACTCGTGGACAAATTCATTGCGAATCATCCTTTGGACATCATTGGCGTGCACTGCACCCACGGATTCAACCGCACGGGCTTCCTGATCGCGTGCTATCTGGTGGAGAGATTGGACTTTTCAGTCGAGGCGGCCATGAGGAGTTTCAGCGACGCCCGGCCGCCTGGAATTTACAAAGGAGATTACATCCGAGAGCTCTTCGAGCGATATGATGACGTGGAGGACACTCTGCCTCCTCCACCGCTTCCTGCATGGCATCTGGAGTACGATGATGGTGCGGAAGAGCCACGAATTCAGGCTCACTCGTCCAGGGCGTTCAAACGACACTGCGAGTCGCCGGGTAGCGATCAAGATGACTCTGTGGCCATCGCGAATGGAGACGCTTCCGGGGAGTCCAGCTCGTCACAGCCTAGGAAGAAGAAGCGAGAGTTCCTAAATCTCAATGCCACTTTCATGGCTGGAGTTCCGGGAGTGCACCTCGTGACGGATCAGCCACGCCTGGCGCAACTGCAAGAGCAGTGTCAGGTGATGTGCAACTGGCCGGGCAACGGATTCCCCGGCTGTCAGCCTGTCTCCATGGATGTGCACAATCTGAAGCTGCTGCACGAGAAGCCTTATCACGTGTCCTGGAAGGCCGACGGCACGCGCTACATGATGTTGATACGAGGTCAGTAGAGACGCGCAGAAAGCGAGATTGTGCGGTAACATTGAATTTCCCATTTGCAGGTGAGAAAGAGATCTTCTTCTTCGATCGTGATCACGCCTGCTTCCAGGTGGAGAATCTCAGGTTTCCCTACAGGGGCGACTTCGATCGCCACCTGACCAACACTCTGCTGGACGGCGAAATGGTGATCGATAAGGTGAATGGACTCAGCATCCCGCGATACCTGGTTTACGACGTAGTGAGATTCGAGGATGAGGACTTGGGCAAGATGCCATTCTACCCAACTCGTCTGAAGTGCATTGAGGAGGACATCATAAAGCCTCGCTACGATGCCTTCCGGAAGGGACTGATCGATAAGAATCGAGAGCCTTTCAGTGTGCGCCACAAGATGTTCTGGGACGTGACTCAGGCCAGGGCGCTGCTCGCGCCGAAGTTCGCCAAGACGCTAAGTCACGAGCCCGACGGACTCATCTTCCAGCCGTCGCTCGATCCCTACCATCCTGGTCAGGCCAATGCGGTGCTCAAGTGGAAGCCGCTGGACATGTGCTCGGTGGACTTCAAACTGAAGATCGCAGAGGAGAGCGGCATGGGCATCCTGAAGCGGAAGGTGGGAATGTTGTACGTTGGCCAACTGACCACTCCCTTTGCCCAGATCAAATTCACCAAGGCGCTCAAGGATCTCAACAACAAGATCATCGAGTGCAAGTTCGAGAACAACGCCTGGGTCTTCATGCGAGAGCGCACAGACAAATCCTTCCCCAACAGCTACAACACAGCTGTGAGCGTCTGCAACAGCATCCAGCAGCCGGTTACGACCGAGATGCTCCTGGACTTCATTGACTCCGAGATCATGCCACCGCCCAGCATCTGCTAATCCGGCGGGAAGTACTTGTTTCAATCTGTTATGTATCAGTTTTTCAAATTTGAGTGTTTTTAGAAGATGTTCCATGAGAAGAAAATGGAATAAACAGAATTGATGAGCAACGAAAAATGTCTCTTCTTTTCCTGTGCAGTGGACGAGATGTGGCATGGTTTGTTGGAAACAAGTTTGGAGAGCAAACAAACACGATGAGATTCCCTTATCGAAAACAACGTCATTAATTTAAAAGATTTTTTATATTACAAAATAACAGTGATTACAAGCTTCTAAGTCTAACATTTTCCATTTATAATGCTTATACACATTGAATTTGCTTCTTACATTTCCACTTTGAAAAATCCTCCATGAAATACATTGCAATCTTAAAAATATCTATGCTTAATTGAGAAATGATTGAAATTGAGAATGATATTCTCCACAATAGTCAACACAATTGTACTAATCTAACTCTTAAAACTAACAATTTTTATTCCAAAGGATTATAGGCACTAGTCTAGGTTGAATCGGTGGTTCTTGATGTAGTCCAACAAAACCTCTGTGGTCACCGGATGAAGGATGGATTCGATGACGCCCTGAGCCGTATTGAAGCTGTTGGGGAAGGATTTGTCTGTGCGCTCTCGCATGAAGACCCAGGCGTTGTTCTCGAACTTGCACTCGATGATCTTGTTGTTGAAATGCCGGATGGTACGGGAGTAGCGCATCTCGGCGAAGGGTCCTTTGTGCTGCGTGACATATAGAAAAGCCCTAGAAGTCCTGCCGTCGTGCATGATCTTCAGCCGGAAGTCTACGGAGTTCTGCTGCGGCGGCTTCCACTTCAGCACATAAGGATACCGTCCAGAGCGATAGGGCTCGAACTTGGGCTGGAACACAAGTCCGTCGGAGCCGTGTGAGAGGCTGTCACAGAACTTTGGCTGCAGCAGGAGTCCTGTATCGGCGACGTCCCAGAAGTGCTTGATGCGAATTCCAAATGGCTCTTCTTGCCTCTTGATGTGGCCGTGCGCAATGTAGTCTGCCCGAATCCCGATGATCTCCCTGTCGATGATGCTTCCGCGGTCTGGGAAGAAGTCCATATCCGTGACGTTTTTCCCGTTGAACCACACGATGTCGAAGATGAGGAAGCGTGGAATTGTTGCGCCGTTGACTTTGTCCAGGACCATTTCGCCGTCGAGAAGCGTGTCCTTCAAGTGGCCATTGGAGTTCTTCGCATGCGGGAACGTGAGATTGTTCACCTTGAAGCAGTTGTTGTCTCGGTCGAACATGTAGATTTGGCCTTGGTCCAGGATCAGCATCATGTAGCGCGTGCCATCGGCCTTCCACGACACTCGATAGGGCCTCACGTTGAAGGATGTGAGATTGCGCGCACTCAGTGATACGGGATGAGTCCCCGGAAAACCATCGCCGCTGTAGTTGCACATTTCACGGCACTTGTCCTGGAGTTGGTTCACTAGATTACGATCCAACATCAATTCCACTCCACTGATGCCATCGACGAACTTGGCATCGGCACACAAACGTCTCTTCTTGCGCTGCGATGGTGAATCGTCGCCTTCGGAGGGACTGGATGACTCTCGGCGTCGCTTGGGTCTCGGCACATTGTCCCAGGATGGAAGCGCTGGTGCGTCAGGAACTTGATCGGTGTTGTTGTAGCGTCTGAAGAGCTCCTCTATGTAGTCTTGTTTGTAGATTCCAGGCGGTCGAGCGTCGGAGAAGCATCCTATTGCGGCCTCTACGGAGAAGTTCAGTCTCTCCACCAGATAGCACGCGATCAGGAAGCCCGTGCGGTTGAATCCGTGGGTGCAGTGCACGCCAATGATGTCGTCTTGATGAGTCACGAGGTAGTTGTCCACAAGTTGAATAAACATATTTGTCTGCTCCTTCGATGGCGTCTCTCCGTGTCCTCGGCACTGCAGCTTCACGTACTTCGCATTGAAGTTCTTCACAATCCGACGATCGTAGAATCTCGTGGTGTTGGTCAGGTCAATCCACAAGCCCAGGCGTCTCTTCTGCACGCGGAGGCTCTGCATCACCAATTCCGGCGAGAAGTATGCCTCGACGGGAAGCTGGGAGTCGAAGCGCTCGTCCAAAGGCGTCTTGAATGCCAGAAATCTGTCCGCTATAAAGCCATCTGATTTCCTAGGACAGTGAAGCCATCGATCCGGCACGGGTCCTGGGCTTCGGTGTCCATTCTCTCGATGCTTTGGTGTTTCAGAGCGACTGGATGAATCACTTGAACTATGACTTGAACCCGGACTGGGATTCTCACGATATTCAGAGTTGTTGGTGTTCGCCATGTTAAACTTTTACTGGTTTGCACAACACAAGGAACAACAAGAGTAACTTTAAGAACGATCTGTTTACTTCAGAAGATCTTTGGGGTATGAACCTCTGAGGCAAAGTGGGTCGTATTTATACCTTTGACCCGAAAGGGTCACAGCCTATGACCGCACGGAAAAGGATCGAGGCGATCTCCTTAATGACTTTTCCAGGTATTCACTTGGTAATCAGGTAGATTGGGCACACCCCATTATAAGCACCATAAGCACAATGGGGCGGAGTTTAAGTATTTGCAAATGAAATTTGTGACTGAGGACACACTCTTTACTTAACTTTCCTTGATATATTTCCAGACTAGAAGTATTTTGATATTTACATAAATAAAAGCAATAGGATACTTGCAAAAGAATAGCTTCCAAGTGAAAAACCAACTTTTTCTTATAGGATTGAAATCTAAGAAAGAATATGTATTCATTCATATAGATAGATACAGTTAATTCCTTAATTTCTAAGTTCGGGAGCGTGGAGATCTTTGGTTGGTGGCCTTTTATCTTCCTCAAGCTCTGCTGAACGATTTTCGTTTGTGTTCCGAACGTTGTGATGCGTTTTTCCTGTGCTCGCCGTGGTCGCCATGAATGGAATTGTCCTCATTCTGGATGTCCAATCCGGCTGGGCAGATGCATGAGTCATCTTTATTAGTTTGTGGGTTGTTGCTGATTTGCTGGCGGCATTGTCTTGCTGATGGACTTGTCCGTGAGGCTCTTTATCCGATGCAGCCTATGATTACCCCAGAAAATTGCTTCCCCCCATAACAATCCAGTTCTTTTCCTTGATATTTCCATGTATTTTTACTCATTTGTTATATCTTTGTCCATGGCCAATTAGATTTATTGCGTTTTGCGGGTGTCAATTGACCAAATAACTCCCAACACATGAATGAATGCTTTCCTTATATTCCTTTTTTTCTGGCCAAGGGAAACATTTCCATTGAAGTTTTACTAACCTCAAGTTGGAAATCAACAGTCAGTTTCGTCTGTTGGCATTAAAAATGTCTTTTTATTTCCCTTGCCGAGTCAATCGCTCACAGCATTCAGAAGGTGAGGATTGAACCCGGGACCATTCATTCACATAAGGCATGATAATTTCTACAAGTTTTTATTTTGTACATTTTAGAAAATATGTGTAGCGCTTTGGGAGAAATGTGAAAGAATTCACAGGAAATGAGTGCACATGATTAGGAGAGATTCTCTCAAAGCCAATAAACGTCTGCTGAAAGTTAATCCGTCATTAGAATCCAATCAAGAGTGGGATTATTTTTTATGGCCTTCACCTCAAAAGGGTGTTAATTACCTGAAAATGTTTTAAATCTTTGCAAATGCCTATTGATTACCCAGTTTTACCAACTCGTCATAATCGAGAATTAAGTGGCATTTTGGCTGACAATCCTTTCTTCAGTGTAACCGTCACTCAATACTTAGAAACAAATTCTCTATTATATTCCGTTTATCACTGTGACAAGCCACATAGCATTACAATTAAAGATATGTATCATAACTTAGTATTGATTTCATCGATAGACTGTATTTTTCAATAACGTTTTAATAATAAATATTAATAATTTCATAAGCAGACATATTCGTGTCCGTTACTCGTATTCAAATCGGATTCCATTGCCGTCGGCAGGTTTCATGGAAGGAACACTGAAGTGTTTCACTCGACGAAGAGTTGTTCTGTCAAAGTTTTTCACTTTATTCTGCGAAAAATCTTGGGAAAATGGCTCAACTCCTGTCTCACTGCTTCCGCCGTGCATTTTCCGTGTCATCAGTTCGAGGATCTAGCGCCGCTGCGTCAGCTGGAGATCATGCGGGTGAGTGAATTTGGTTTTAGTGTTGTTTTCGGGTGTTTTTCGCCCTCATCCGAGAGGTTAGGGGAGTTATGTAATTGCACAGGAAAATATTGATAATCCTCATGCTCTTGTCATCTCATCAGGTGGTGTGAAGCTGTGGAAGCGTCTCTCCTTCTTCGTCGCTTTTCCGTCGGTGGCGCTTTGCATGCTGAATGCGTACTTGGGCCACCAGAAGGATCATGGCAAACCACGTCCGGAATTCGTGCCGTACGAGCACATGAGGATCCGCACCAAGAGATTCCCATGGGGCGATGGAACGAAGAGTCTCTTCCACAACCCCCACGCCAATCCTCTGCCCACTGGCTACGAGACCGAGGATACCCATGCTCACCACTAAGCGGTGGCGCATTTGCGTGACTATAGTTGGATGTGAGATACTTGTAAGAGAAAACTAATAAAATTTCAGGAGAATCATAGAAAGCACGGCTATAGAACAGTAGTTGAGAAAATGGAGTCGATTGGAAAATTGCTCAGAAGCTTCCGCTGGATCTCGAGTGACACCAAGGCTGGCGGGATTGAGATTCCGACTTATGCGAAGTGGAGACGCTTCTTTGTCTTCGGCTGCCTTCCGGTGATCACTCTCTGCGCCCTGAACGTGTTCTTCAATCACAAGCCAGAGCGTCCGGAGTTCATCGCCTACGAGCACATGCGACTGCGGACCAAGAGGTTTCCCTGGGGCGACGGGGAGCGCAGCCTCTTCCACAACAAGAAAATGAACGCCCTTCCGACGGGATATGAGGAGGACTAGCGCAAGGGTTCCGTATAAAAATAATACGTTTATTAGCTAAAATTCTATTGTGAAGAGAAATTTGGAAATTGAAGCTGCTGAGATGTGGAAGTTTTTAGAATCCAAAAACGTCTCCCTCTTTGCGGAAGTCTGCGTTCGCGTAAATCGCCGTGTCGTTCTTCTTGATGGCGCAAATGATGGAGCCTCGGTAGTTGTAGCGGTTTGTCTTGTGACCCAGCGCCGTCAGGCCCTCCACCAAGTACTCCTCCATGCCGTACTCGTAGTCCACCCACATGGGAATGAGTTGATGGTGGAAGCGCGGCGCGTCCACCGCCTCTTTAACGTCCTGCCCAAACCAGAGGATCCTCATGGTGGCCTGCAAGACAGAGATTCTTTTCTCTTTGATATCTTTATCACAAACCTCGCCACTTCGGGACTCACCATCGCGACGGCAGTCGTGATCTTCGTCCCTCCAGCCGCGCCGATGACCAGCTTCACGTTGCCATCGTTGCCAACGACGATCGTGGGCGACATGGAGGAAAGCGCACGCTTTCGTGGGCGGATAAAATTGGGCGGGGAGCCGGGAAGGCCGAAGTAGTTCTTCAGTCCAGGCGATGAGAAGTCATCCATGCCACTGTTGAATATTATCCCTGTGCGATTGCCCATATTTCCGCATCCAAAGCTGTAGAGGAATAAGGTAAGGTTGATTAGAATGATTCAGATGAAATTGGAATTGAGAGGAGCAATTAAAGGAATTTGAAAAATCGATAAAATTTTGTCAAAGTTCGACAAACGTTACTTAGACTTTTATTGGTACTTTATTATTGTTTGAAAATTTTGATAATTTTTCTTTTATTATTATCCCAAAGTATTCATGGCAAGATTGGCCAATTCTATGGCCCCGAAAACAGCAGTTAGAGTTGCTATCAGGCCACGTTTCTGTCTGTGCTCTTCTTCTAATTCTTGTGCTGGAAATTGGGAAATAAGTAAATCGTTCTTCGTCACGCCATAAATCATTTGTTACCTGATATTTGTGTAATGAGAATCAAACACAGAAGCAATATAATATATGATTTCCACATTTCGAAATTTCAATTCAAGAAAATACAGAAAATTTTTAGGTCTTGCAAATCTGCAGCTTTAAAACATATCACGCGAATTTCCGGGTTTTGTTAAGGTTTATATACAACTTGACTTCGCATTAGAATGCATTGCTTTTAAATAATAACAATAATTTTATATTAGCAAGGGTCATAAAATAAACGTTTAAAAAATTAACATATTAATAAACTCTTGAGAAAAAAAAGAATAAATCAAAGTCTACTTCCCAGTGTTGACTTCTCTTTTTTATAAGATTCCTTGTAGGATTCCCAATTTTTTGCTTATTTGTTTTATCTTATGAACAGAAAGATGAAACACTGAAAATTATTTTTTTCAATTTGTGCTTTATTATGAGTTTAAAACTTGTAAGACAAAATCCCTTAGCACGAAGGATTAAACTTAACAAATTTATGGGTTGGGTTTACACTAATTACTTTATGACTGGGAAATAATTACAGTGTTTAAAATATATAAATTTAATTATCCGTTGTGTCCGAAGAGGGTAAATTTGCCCAAATCTTTTGTGAAAATAAAGACTCATTAAAATTAGTCAGAATCGAGGTAAAATTCATATTCTTTTTTGCATTTTATTTTGCGAATCAATTAAGTTCATGCCGATCATATAAAATGTTTTATTTTACTTTCTGCTGGAGTCATAATTCCTCAATAAAAACATAGTTAAGGGTTCATTTTTTAATATTCATCAGCGTAAAGATTGCATTGCCAAGAATTCGTGAAAAAACTGAATGAAACGGAAAAGAGCTTCGAAAAATCCAGATCCTCTTTTTTCTCTTGATTCGCCATCAAACTCGAGCGCTGGAAAAAGGAAAGTATAAGAAACGGACTCTTGAGAATTATATAAATCAATTGTACCTGATATTTGTGTCGCCAGAACCAAGCAAAGAAACAGCAAAACCAAAGTTATTTTCATATTGTATAGAATATTTATAAGAATTTTGAAGCAACTCTTTCACTCAAAGACAAATCATGAGAATTTCAATGCTTTCTCAGAGTTTATATACAATTTTACTCTGCATTAAAATGCATTGGTTGTGAGTAAAAATAATAATTTAGTATTTGCATTTGTAATGCAATTACCATACAAATAACTGATCAACTGAACTTAACTTGCAACTAAATCCAGATTTTGCTAGATTTCAGCGTGATCGGCAAAAAAGAATTGTTACTTTGTTCTCATAATATCACAAATACGTTTTGCGCTGAAGAAATAAGTGGAAAAATTCTAGTTGGATGAGTTTTCAAATTGGCAGTAAGTCAAAAAATTATGTTATCGATTAATTGTACGCTCGAAGGATTTTTTATTAGATTAATCATCTGCCATTGCTTATAAATAAATATTGCAAACACACTTTGTCGCCAAGAACTTTTAGCGCAAACAGCAGTGATAATTCATAAAAATGAGACTTTTATTTGCATTTGTGTGTCTTTTAATGTTAATAGCAGGTAGAAGATAAAATAAAATATTAAGGACGACGATTTTCTTGTATCTAATTCTTGCTATTTATTTTAGAAATTCAAGCAATGGCTTATGGTGAGTATTGAATCACACCAAATATAATTTTTATATTCCCTCTTTTCAATTCCTTTCAGATCGCAAAAATCGATCAGCTTTAGAAAATAAGGAAAAAAGGCATGCGTGTGTTGGTTGTGAACCGTATTGCTCGTGTCCACCGGTTGTGTATTAATTAGTGAATATTTATTAAAACATTGAAGCGACAGAACCAGAATTTTGGTGTATTTCATTCCGATGCTTTTCTAAGTAACCAATAAACCGAAATGGCGCAAATGACTCTGTTTATATGAATTTGTTATCGTTTCGAATTTCACGCATCAATGATCCTTTACTTTACTGCATCTAATGATTTTCATCATCGTTCAATCGTTGTGCATTTCCTTATAAATGAATCTGAAAAATTGCAATTGCAAATACACTTTATCGCCAAGGTATTTTGTAAAATTCGTAGAGTAAACATCAAGTGAAAACTGTCTAAAAATTCATAAAAATGAGGATTCTTTTCGCAATTGTGTGTCTTTTTATGCTAATAGCAGGTAAAATAATATTAAATACTTCGGAATTTCAATTTCCCTGTATTAAATTTCCAATAATTCTTCCAGGGATGCAAGCAATGGCTGGTGAGTAGTGAAGTGATTGAAAAGTTTCTGCTATTTAATGCACGAACTAATCATTTTGCCATTACTCAAAGACACCAAATATAGTTTTTATTCTTCCTCTAGTTTTGATTTATTTATTTGTTCCATTCCTTTCAGAGGAAGAACACCAAGCTGGCTCGGAGGGTTCAGTCAATAATCTCGAAAGGCGTGCGGCGATTCCTTGTGATTGTCGTGATCCAACTTGCCCGTGTCCGACATTTAAGTAAATATTTATCAAAGCGTGGTTTCTAAAACTTTTTCGATAAATTTGCAAATAAATTTAATTATAAACTGAGTTGCCTTTTATTCAGAAAACGTTTTGTTGTCTCTGAAATCGATGCAAGATAATCAGAGTTTTGGAGTATTCAATTCCGATGCTTTTCTAAATAACCAACAAACCCAAATGGCACAAATTCTTGCACAAATTACTATATATGAATTTGTTATCACTTTGAATTTCACGCTTCAATAATCCATTTGTCAATAAGACGGCTCAAATGTAAAGAAACTTTTTTCAGTGCATTGTAGTGACAAATATCAAGAGAAAAATCAATTGTGAATTTAAGAAAATGAGGATTTTTTTGGAATAGCTTTTATCTTTCTACTATTGACTGGTAAAAACAATTTCTTACTTCTTGCCAAGGGATTTTTTTATTTCTTTTACTTATCTATCTATTCTAGGAATTATATGTGAAGATCTAAGTAAGTAATATTGCATTATAAACATATTAATTCCTATGGTTTTTTACTCAGTACAAATTCTATGTGAGTAACAAGATATTTAAATGCGCAAATACACTTTTCCTTCCTTTTTAGCACATAGGAGGACTAGAGATTTGCTTGGTAATGCGGTTCGCCCGAAAAGAGCTCCTCAATGTGATTGTGGATTTGTAGATCCGGACTCGGACCCAGGCTGTTTTTGCCCCATTTGACTATGAATTGGCAATAAAGCCTAATATCGAACAGTACACGGTGTTCATATTAATTTGATTTAGGACAATAAATTTTCACCTGCGTGCTTTTTTGATTACTACGCAATAAGTCGTAAACACTTCACGAATTAATTTTTCACTTCAATGATCATTAATTTGATCAAGCAGTTTTTAAAATTGTGCATTTTCCTATAAATAAATTAGTATGATTAGCATAAACGGCATTTAAACTTTGTTGCCGAAGTTTTGTAGATCAAACAATAGCTAAAATCAATCTAGAAATCATTTATAGTTGGACGAAATGAGATTTATTTGGGTCCTTTGCATATATTTGATAATAGCAGGTAAAACAAACATATATTCATATTTTTCTTAAAGTTGACTTCATTTGTAATTGCTCAGGTGTTCAAGGAGTAGCTCTAGCGGAGTACAGACCCTATACACCAACTGGTGACTGTTACATTTGTGAAGGGGACCCGTACTGTGAGTGTCCGCCGCCGTGGATGTTAAGTTGACGAGTCCCCGCAGAGCGGGAAATCCACGGGAAAATTGCTTTGAGACCAGTGAAAGTATGTATTCTATTTGAAAGCTCAAATACAATAAATTGCTAAAGAACTTTGCGCAGAAATCTCAAGATGTAATTTTATGTTATCGTTTTGTAATTTATCGCTTTACTGATTTCTTATTAGATTTTTAGAGCTCCATGAGTTTCTATAAATATGAATATCGTATTCTCACAGTTTTTATAGGACACAGTTGTTTGTATAGGAAAAATGAGGTTTCTTTTTGCAATCGCGTGTCTTTTTCTGCTACTGACAGGTAAAAGACTACTTTTATAAGTGGTAAGGATATTTTCAATATAAAATTTTTGTATATTATTCACTAATTTTAGGAATCATGGCGAGAATGGATGACAGCAGTAAGTGAAACATTATTGAAATCACAAGTAAATGTAAACGTTTGGCATTCCTTTTATTCATTCTACTGCAGACAGTGGTTTCCAGCGCTTAAGACGTGATGCAAAGCCTGATGACCCTGACTACGACCATTCGGACGCCTTAATTCGAAGATAATCATGGTCTCCATAACGATGTTCGTAGCTTCTAACTACTCTTGGTTTATACTGCTTTGCATACTTAAAGCTCCAAAGCGCCGAAAGCTGATCTTCAATATTTTTTTTTTAGAAAGTAATGTTTTCAAATTTCAAAAACCGATCATAATAAATATTGAAATTATGTTGAATCTTTTTTGTATTCGAATTTCTTCAAAAATCTTTCTTTTTGGTTTTGGTGAGTTTTAAATTTCTTGGGCAAAGATTGTAATCCCGGCAGAATTCAATTCTTGGTAGTATCTTCAATTAGGTAAGTAAAATCTCTAAAATCTCTAAAATTGTTAATGTAATACATATGTTCACTTTTCCCAATTTTACACTTCAATGATTTCTTATTAGACCGCATATCAGTAATCCTACATATTCTTATAAATAAGTAAGAATTATTGCAAACTTACTTTGTTGCTAAAGTGTTACTGTAGAGTAAACAACAGCTGAAGAATAATCGTGAAAATGAGGTTTCTTTTAGAAATCATGTGTCTCTTCATGCTAATAGCAGGTAAAATAATACTACTTATTTTAAAATAAAATTCAATGCTTTTAATAAAATATTTTCTAACGAATATTTTTCTAGCGATGCAAGGAGTTTTTGCAGGTGTGTGAATATACGAATTTTAATAAGAAAAATCATTTTCTTTCTTAAACATTCTAGATTAATGTAAAATGGAAAATTTTGGATTTGTTAATTTGAAAGTTTATTTATTTTTTTGATGTCCAATGCTTTTAATATGTCTTTCAAGAACCAAGCGAACCCAGAAGCGCTTCTGCGAACGACAAGGAGAATGGTAATTGTGTCTGCACATTGCCGTTCCCGAATGCCGGGATAACACCAACATGTTGGTGTTAAAATAAATAAGAATACGACGAGCATCTTTATGCTTCATAACTAAAATTTTAAGATTGTTTTGAAAGATTTGGAAATACAGACGATTATAAATTAAAAATACGCCTTTTGTAATTGCCAACAGGAACTTCCCTTAAATTTGGTCAAGAATTTGGTATTGAAAAGTCAATATAAAAGAATTCTTTTCATTGTCTCTTATATTGTATGTCGTCCGCAAAAATAAATAAAAATAATTTGTATTGAATTCTGTTGAGCACGATTTGTGCAGCATAAGACATATGATCTTCGCACACGAATCTATTGCCGAAAAAATATCCGAATTTGTTCAAATCATATTTATTTAATTTTATTCATATTTTGATGTAATATTTAAAAAATTGTGTGATTAGTCAGCTAATTTCAAAAGTTAATCATAAAAGTAATAAATCTATTTATTTATAAGTTTTGTGTTATCGTCTTTAATTTTACGCTTCACTTATCGCTTATTAGATTAGCAATGATTGGCACTACATTTTTCCTATAAATACGTTTAGGAAAATACAACGAATAACCACTTTGTTTCCAAAGTATTGTTTGAAAACAGTAGCTAAAAGCCAATAGTAAAAATGAAAATTATTATCCTCTTCTTCGCCGTATTACTGCTTCTGTCAGGTAAAATTAACCTTTTCTTTTAAATCAGCAAAGTTTATTACAGTTTTATTTATTTGTATCTTTGTTTCAGGAATCCTTGGAGGTTAGTACATCAGTGCTGCACAAATAGTGTTGTTAGAGTTCAGCATTGACGTGAAATCACGTTATTTAAATACAATTGGTTTGCTAGATTTCGTTGTGAACCAGAAAAAACATTTTACAATTTTTCTGTCTTCTTATTCACATCAGAATTTTCATTAAGACGATTAATGTTTTCTTCTCTTCTTATTTAAAGCGGAAGCAAATGAACGCGAAGATCGCCGTATGAGACGCGATCGTAATTCTGAACGCCGTGAGCGACGCGAGGACTCACACCGTGACCGACGCGAGGACTCACACCGTGAGCGACGTGACGAGTCACGCCGTGAGCGACGTGAATTGCCCGATCCCCGTCGTTTTAGGCGCGAATTAAACGAGGAATAATTTTCCTCACAAGGAGAATAACTACCGCTTCTACAATACAAGAGAGTTATGCTGAGGCGTATATTTGAAGCGGAAGAGCTGATCTAGAATATTTGTTCTAAAGCAGAATGTATTCAATTTAGAAATGAGAATCTATTCAGCTTATTTGCTCGTATTTAGTCTACAATTATTTTCTAGCGCAATTGATTGTTGCTAACACTGCTTTTTGCATGCATTAGTTCACAGAAAAATCCATATCTTATCGCAGTTCTTCGTCCAGATTAAGAAACATGAACTGACTCTCATTATCAGCGTTGTTTCGTCTACCCACTAATGAAAACAGTCAATTACAAAAGTGAGCACTTACTAGAAATTCACGGAGCTCGTCACAGAAATGGCGTCGCCGTTGGGCGCTAGGAGGGAGATGTGGGCAGTTCCCTTGTCCTCAGAGATGTGGAAATTGCCACCGTAGTCTTTGGGCTGCTGACTCGTGGCCAGGTCGTCGATCTTGCGCCTAATATCCTCCGCAAACTCATCCGACGTGAGATCGTTAATTAGTTGTGTAATGTTGACAAAATCTGGGTCTCCAATTTCTGTCCTCTTGCCGTACGTCCACTTGAAGGCCTCAATGATGCGATGGTATGTCCTGATTGTCTCATTCTTGGTGGCAATGCTGTCCGCAGAGAAGTGATAGCCTGGCAAATAACAAGGAAATATGCTGTATAAATTCTACTGGGAGTCTCAAAGTGCTCAGTACCTTTGAGAATCTTCATGATGAAGCCAAGCAGAAGGCCACTGCCTGGAGGTGGAATGATGTACATCGTGTCTCCGTTCATCTTGATAGGAATCGATTCTGACCACTTGACGCGATACGCCTCGAGATCCTCGCGAGTGATGATGCTGCCCAGCTCTTTCAGATCCTCCAGGAACAGTTCTGCCAGCGTGCCGTTGTACAGGTCCATTCCACCGTTATCGGCCACCATTCTCAGAGTCTCGCACAGCCTCGTGGGGCGCACGATGCTGCCCATTCGGCGGAAGGTGCCCGTGGTCTCGTTGAAGAGCAGCTGCCGCAACATGCGGTCGTGCTGGATGCGCGGGTTGATCTTCGTGGAGTCCTCCATGTGGCGACTCATAGGGAAGCCCTGCTCGCACACTTTGATGGCCGGCGCCACGAGGTCTCTCCACGGCAGCCGGCCGAAGCGCTGATGCGCCTCCCAGTAGCCCATCAGCTCACCGGGCGTGCCCAGCGACAGCGGACCCTCGATTGTGGATTTCTCGTCATGCAAATGCATCCTTTCGAAGGCGGCCGACGCGGAGATCTCGCGGGCGTCCAGCGTGTAGGCTTTCTGCTGATCTCGCAGGTACAAGTTCATGATGAAGCCACCCCCAATGCCCATGCTCTGCATATTGGTCAGTCCCAGGCAGAACATCGTGGCGATTGCGGCGTCCACCACATGACCGCCGCGCGTGAAGACATCCCTGAGAAACGGTAATAAAATGTATATCAGTAGGAATATCCATAAGGCAGCGCTATTCATAAGTTCCTCCAAAAACTTACAATTTCTTGTATATATTAATATTGTAAATTTCTCTGCTCAAGCATAATTTTCCTTCAAAGTTGTTTCAAAGTTGAAAATTTATGTAAATAACTCGCAAAGACTATCAAGTGCACAGTCTTCGTCTATTCATACATTTTTTATGGGAAATAGTGATGATATTGCAATAGCATAAGTTCAAATTTGCCCTACACTTTCCTTTAATCAATAAGAATTTAAGAGTTTTTTGAAAGAAATTCAGTGGTTCAGATCAACTTGAAACACATCAGGGAACATGACTTTGAAGTCGTGCAATTCTCTTGAGATAATCAATTTGAAATGGCGAATTTGTGAGTTGTTTGAAATAAAAATAATCATTGGGTGAATAACAATTTGCGGAAGTTCTCTAGTGTGGTCAAGGTCTCATGTTCCCATTTTCTCGGCACTTGCATTGAAGAAGTTCACTGATTTCTGGGTCAATGGTGTCCGTGTCTTGCTCTCAAGTTATCCTCCGTACACTGTGAGCAATGGCTGGTCGTGAGTTGCTCTATTGAACTCTGCTCTTGCCATTCAATCGCCACTTGGAGGTCACATGCGTTGCCTTCTCACCAAATCATACGACTCACCAGCAGCGAGACGAGCGAGACAAAGAGACTGTGGACTTTTTCTATCAATTCATTTATTGGTTGTTTTTCATTTACAATCTAGCTTTATTTCACTTGTATTCATTACTTTTAGTCATTAACTCGATAAATGTGTTATTATTCCATATAGCTTCTAACAACTTATCTGAGAATAATTATAGTAAGTTACAATTAAACACAGCAATTCATGTCTTACAAAATAGATTTAGAGTAGATGTGTGGGATGATGAGGATGGTGGGCGAGGTGGGGCGCGCTCCCGCGGATCCGCGGTGGATCCTGGCGCCCTGGCCTCACTCCGATGAGGTGCTGGGCGGCCGGTACTTCTGGTGGTGCAGGACGCTGGCGTAAAAGGTAGGGCTGAGCAGCCACCGGGAGAGCATGGAGGCCACCAGGCCCCCGGTGTAGTGCTCCTCCGCACTCTTTGGCTCCACGTCAGCTGGCGCCGCCGTGAGCCCCACTCCAGAATCAGCTGGAGTGCACATGACCGGTATTACAAGATTGCTCGCCATTTCTGCCGCGGCCTCTCCTCCGGTTCTGCGAGAATCAGGAGAGCACTGCGCACTTCCTCGCACTCACACTCTTATCTCACACGGTGTTATGTATTATTTTTATAATTCTCTTTTTCACTTGTTTATTTAGCTTTTTTTTGCTTAACCCTGGGGCTTATTTTTGCTTATTTAACACTCACACAAGAGAAGAGTACATAAAGTGGAATATTTGTTGGGCGAAGAAAGACACAACATATAAAGAGATAAAGGAGAAAAAAAACGTTCAAGTGTTCAGGTTTGCCACACTAAACTTTTTCAGCAAATGCTGCGCGAATTCAGTTCTTCTTGGCCGCTGGAGATTCCTTCTTATTGGTCTCAGTGTTCATCATCTTCGTGAGCAACTTCCTCGAGTGGCCACTGGGATCGAAGTGGTTTGTGTGCGTGCTGGCTTCCTTCTTGGATCTCTGCTTGCCACTGTGTCCCGAAAAGATGTGCTTATCGTGATCGAAATTGTAGTGCTCGTACTCGTCAAAGTGAACCTCGGACATCTTCCAATTGACTCTGTTCAGCTGTTTCCTGTCACGAATCGTCTCGGGTTTGCTGCTCTCTCACACACTATTTGCCAACTGCGCCGTTTGGAAAAGAAGGAGTTCAAGAATGTCTAGTGAACTTGCTTCGCTCGTACAACACTTGTATTGCTTCAACAAAAAAATCGATGCGATGAAGTAATTGACTGCAATACTGCTGAATATTGAACACTCTTTTGTGTAGAAAATGCTCTTCAGTAGAACAGAATAATTGCCTGACGTGAACGATAGCCTTGGAATTGAAATACTAAAATCGAAACTCCATTCGTACTGCTATTTATACTCGGCCGCGGCACGATTGCGCGAACTGCCCGAGAGTGGGGGCACATCTCGACACATTTCAACATCACTCAACTTGTGTTGTGTTTGTGCATTCGCTCGCCAGTGTGCGGCAGTGCGATTGCTGGGAACAAAAAGAAGACGGCACACAGAGAGATTGAGAATATACATAAATTCTACAGCTGCAAATTTGCCACTGAGCTGGTGTGCGAGTGTGTCTTTGACGAAAAACTGGCTTCAATCCCATAAAACGACGTGCTTCGTGAATAAAACATCCACCATATACAGTGCAATTACGAATTTTACGAACGATGCTCACACAGTCAACCCATTTCAGATTTCTGCCCACCCCGAAATTCCTCTTCCTTTCCACCAGCAATTTGGGCCATCCAAGCGTTTTCCATTCTATTAATAATCCAAAAAATTCCAAGGAACTGAAGAAAAAACTCTTCCGAGTGCGACAAAACACCTTCAATGTTGATTTCTTTTTCACACAAGCACAGCATAAATTTGTCGTACGTGAGCTCATGCATGAACACAAGCGCGCAGTGGAAATGTCAGGGGACGGAAAATAGGAGAAAGAATCCTCAGTGAGATAAAGTATTGTGGATATCAGTAGAATGGATACTGACGAATCGTTCCATATTTCTTGCATGAAATGATGCAAATACCGCAAAGATTTACTCATCACACTGAGACGAGTATTTATGTATTATTTAAATTTGCAAGAGAGAAGTTAATGAGGGAAAGGATTGACGGTAAAATTAGTGACACGATTAACTGATATTAAAGCTTTTTAACAGCTTTAACCTGTTTTGTTTAGCGGAATAAACCTCCTACTTGGCAAACAATTTTGAGAATAATGACAATTTGGTAGAGAAATTTTCATGAAATTAATTTCATTTCTCACAAAACTTCTCATGAATATGAAGGGAATATTGTCAAAATAGAACATTTTGGCACTTAAATATACAACATTATGAAATCTAATCAGCTAAATTTTCCTCTAACCTGAAAAACCTAAAGATTGCGCAACAATTCTCAAAAGAAACATAATCAATCTTGGCAAGTGCTTTTTTTGTTACCTCTTTCGTGATTAGATTTCGCGATGATTTCCCTTAAAATACAACCACTTGGCCTGCAAAAAGTCTCAACCGCGAATGTCCGATAAGATTCTTCCTGCCCAGCAAAATCATCTGTAACAATGTTGTGGTCAAACACTGCGTTTCAAAACACAAACTCTCGAGTTGAAAATGTACAGATGATGTTGCATAATTACTTGCCGGCTTGAAAGCGGTAAATAACCTCAAAACTATTTATATTGTCGAATGTGCGGACACTGAGGCTATTTTTTCTGCACACACGCCGGCAAAAACAAACACGACTTACAAGAGAGAAAAAAAAACATACAATCTAAGAATAGCCCAGCAGGAAAATGATGAAAAAGCCGAACGCGAGTAATTCTTTTTTCCATTTGGGCCAAGAACTGCGCGCGCGCAGCAGAATCGATCATCAAGACGGACCTGTTTTGCTTGATCTGTCGAAAGAAATTTTGCGGAATAGGCAAAATATTATGATTTCTGTCGCACACTCGCGACACACAAGTTTTTGACAACACCGCTGAAAATATCCAAAACATTTTCTCATGATTATACTGCGCAGTTCGTGGCGAGATGTGTTTGTTTTTAGAAAGAGACACGATCACCAGAGTGAGGAGAAAGGCAAACCGGCAATCAAACGGAAAAGTGTGAGTATCTCACATTTATGGGAGGCACAAGAAACAATTCACTGCATGGCGCAAAAAAATTGATAAGTCTGCAAATTATTGTCGCTTTGTTGTGCTTTTTCTGCCGGGGGCACACTTTGGGGTCGGCGGATTAACAGTATTATTAGCAGAAGGCAAAAAATTGAGAGTAATTCTCCTCTGTTAGACGATACCATTTCTGCTGGTAGAATCAACTCTTTGGCATTTTGTACGTTTTTTCGCGATCTCACGAATGCGAAGCTCGAGGTGGTAATGAACATTCCAAATATTTGGCTGTGATGATAGCAAATGATGGGAATGATTATTGCAAGATGCTTTTTCGCAGTGTAACCTTAAACATCTTTAATGATATTCTGTGCAAAATTCTATTATCAAAATTATCATTTCATAATGTAATATTTATGCTTTCTACGAAACTCTGTGTTGCATGAAATTTTAATGGAATCTCCCCTGTAATCTTAATTATTTTTACTCTCATTTTCAGTCACGAAAAGTTAGTCTGTTAATTGTCTAATTAAAATTTGGTAATGAATTCTCCTGATGCTTGAATTAAGGAGAATCCAAAAAAACTCTTCCCCTTTGCAAGATTCTTGGTGTTCAATTAGAGTGGAAGATTAATTATTATCTGTGCAGTTTGTATTAAAGTGGAGATTGCAAGAAAGCAAATCGATAAAAAGACAGGCTTGTCAAGTGTTTTCTATGCCCTTTTGTGCAGCTTGACCTTCTGAGAATGGAATATTCCTATGCACACTTTCCACTTCCTTGAGCCTCGGCGTGCAGGAGAAGCAGTAGAAGTAGTTGAAGTGGAATATTCCGATCCTTCTGGTCTTCTTGCCATGGAAGGAAAATAAGGAGATTCGGATGGATAATTGGACTCATCACAGAAGTTCGTTGTGAACTCAATATCGTGGAAACCTTTTAACCTCTCTCAATGCCGTCACATCACATTAAATTGCTCACTAATGACTCATTATTTTTTCAAAATTGTTTCTCATTCTGGTAATTTCGTTACATTTTGCCAACGATCGCGGGAAACACTAATCAAATGTTTACCAAATTGGTGAACCGGCTTTTCTGCCGTTCATAAACACAGCGATATTTCAAAATATAATTGCGCAATGTGACTCAAATGGTCCTCGGACACAAGGGTGCCGGGGGAGTGACCATACTTGGAAAAAAGGCTGCTGATAAGAAACTACACAGAAAAAAAATTGCGAAGAGAAAAACACAAAACCAGCTGATTAAATAATACACTTTATACTTTGTTATCGCGAAATCGCTTTACAGCCCGTGCTTCGTGTGAGCATTTTGTATATATTTCACTTCGAGCTCACCGAAAATACATCCAAAGCGTGTCTCAGGAAGATAATACCGGGAAAGAATGATATTTTATGGTGCTCCCATTACGCAACTCTCGGTCGGTGTATCGCGACGGGACGGCGGAGAAAAAAAACGGCCAGAAATGAGAGTAGAATTTATAAATTTCCATCCCAGAAATTTTATATCGTGTGGTGTGATTTTTCAATGGTATCGCACAAAAAATCCATGACATTTTCCCATTGGCGCGATATAAAATGCCCCCGGATTGAAATATTTGCGGAAGAGACAAAGCATAATATGCAAAACAATATCTTGCCGTTGATATCAATATTTTGTCCATGCGAAAATGTAACCATTAATGCGGAAAATGCCATACTTCACGTGGTGAACAACTCAGCAATTACGACGTTGCGATTTCACGTGAATTCTTCGCCACACTTTGTCAAAAAGACACGAGAAAGACATTCAGAAGTAAATGTTGCTTGAGATTCTTCCTTTCTATCGCAATTTCCGTATAATCACTCAACTTCTTATGCGCTTCTTTTGAATTATAATGATTGACCCGAAAGCGCTTCACTCTCTGAACAGTTCTCAACATTCATTATTCTTGATGAAAGTCATTGTAATTGCTTCATCTTTTTGCCTGACGGTCTTTATGACAGAAATTATCATTTCTCTCATTATCAGCAACGCCAATTGGCGTTTTAATATTTGTGCGCCTTGCAGGGAAACAATGTTGTCCCGAAGTGTGATTCATGCAAATGAATGTTAGCTTGGCAAAGAGATCCTTTGTCATCTTCATGTGTATCGCAAACATGACGACAGCAGAGAAATTTACATTTGCAACTTGATAGGGAGATTCTGGTGTGAAAATGTGGCACTTTGCAAACTGAAAGCCGTGGGATTTCACTTGACTTTGTGCACACAAGAGTGTCGGTTTGAACTGGTTCTGGCAGTGAAATATTGATGGATGGCAGACTGAATCGCCTTCGAATTTATGGTTTATTCCTGTGCATTTGCTCTGCCCTCAGCCATAAAAGACACCTTCAACTGCACACTTGTTTGTGTTTATTGCCAGTAGATTAGATTATATTGTTATCGACTCATTTTTGTGCGTCGTCTCGAAATTAATTTGCTTATCAATCACTCTACTTGACAAGGTTTCTTATTGAGTGTTACGCGACACATTACAAGTCAGACTAGTGCGTAATTTTTTCTCACTATCGTGAAAGAAAATGAAATTTCTTCACCAACTCTACACTGCTTAGTGGAAATATTCGGTCAAAATGTTGTATCTCGTTTGCTGGAAAATTCCTCTAAACACATTTCTTGTCAATGAGAAGTATTTTCATTGTGTACTATTTTCTGAAGTGAAATAAAATTTTCATATTCCACATGTGACTTGGAAAATACGCTCAGTGTAAATTGCTAAAGTATATTCCAGATATTTTAGCAATTCCTCTAAATCCTCTAAATGACCTTTAAAGATCATTAATGTAAATATTAGTGAATAAAATGTATGGAAAACTGGGTCTCTTAGTAGAATGTTACAGATCTTTTTGACATCGGAAGCAAACACAGCGCCAAATAACGAAATAACTCCTTATCTCGATCATGACTCATTCCTATATTATCATTTCAGAAGGTCAAGAAACTGCGTCTGTTTATGTCACAGAAGAATATGATCAAACTCTGTAGCAGAAGGTACTTCATCTTGTGCAAACATTTGTATCTGCGAGTGTGAGTTCTAAATTTGGCGATGCCCTCGCATGTGCCTGTTATCACGCCATTATTCGCTATCTAATTAGCCCAACCACTCGAGATGGGCCCAGAAATTGTGTCAGCGCAGGGACACTCACCTGCCCACGCGGCTGCATGCGTCAGAGTCGGAGCACACGGCAGCGTTCTGGAAGACGTGCATCGTCGATGGCGATGGAGGCTGCGGCACTTGGGGGTTGGGCGGACGCAGGGCGTCCGTGGGCGCCGGCTCGTCTAGCGTCTTTGGCCACCAGGTGGGCGTGAAGAAGGCCACGTAGACGGAGAGCGCGCACAGGGCCATCAGGATGCCGGCGGTGCCCAGCAGCACGGCTCTGTTGCAGTAGTTCATCCGGTTCCAGCAGCTGCAGCATCTGCAGAGAAGGACGCGCATGAGAAAATCTATTGGGGGCATGGAAAATTTTGCCGGCTCGGGGTCATGAACCGGGCATGTTTGTGTGGCACACTATTTGAACATGAGGAGCACCAGTGATGTTTTCCCTCCATATCAGCTGCCACTGCATCTGATGAATTTCAATTCCCAGATTACATCATCTTCCTCTTCCTTCGCGGCCGCATTCCTCGCGCCATCATCGACTATGCGAGGGGGATCTGGGCCTTATCTGAGGCCACGAGCACTGCCACTTCTCGCCCGCTTTATGTTCCGCCGCTGCACTGGGCAGACAGCGCCTGAAGGCAGCGTCAGAAGCCAGAAAGCTTTCGGGCTTCCCATGGGAAAAGTGCTCGGCAGTAGTCTTTCAGGGGATTTCTGGAGCTTTCAAAGGGAACGCAGCACTTTTCAGCGGCGTGCTCAGAATTCGAGAGCTTCCTCTGATTGTGATTATGCTCATTGTCAGATTCCCTAGACTTTATCATCGATCAAGAAGTAATCAATCCACTAACCAATTCTACTATGTAGGCAAATTAAAATGATATCACGTTGAAACTAATTAATTATATGGACAGTTAAATTTGCTATAGATCTATTAAAAATTTTACAATATCGTCAATCATTTTTTCAACTTCTATACTGAGAAATTATTAATTGAGATTCAAATTAATAAGCACAACGCTTCTATTTACTTACAAGCTGTCCTGAAAGCTCAGAGTTTTTCATACAATTTGGGTCAATTTTCGTAGACAAACCCAAGCCATTGATCGTCTTGTCACAAGAAATGGGCATTTTGGAGTTACATTTTACTGATAAGATAAAAATTGAGTAAACTTTCGTCGAGATTAACTGAGCGCGTGCTTGTGAAAAATGTACATTAATCTCGTCAATAAAGCACTCAAATTTCGTGATTAAATCTTCCCAAAAATTGATCCGCGTTTAATTAGAAGGAATCAGGGATTGGACTCACAGATTTCGTGTTGTGATTATTAAATGGATTTTCTCAATTGGTTATTCATGACTGTTGGATTGAATATACTCGAATCATCGTATCATTCTCAGGGGGTTTTGCTAATCGCAACTTTCGTTTGATTACGTCAAAGACTATTTGAGCAATTAGCAAGATAACATTTCCAGGGGTTACAAAAGTATAACAGAATGCGATAATTGACCAAAATTCGCTCAATTGATAAGAGTTTTTTTGTCGGTCACATTTATAATCGAACAGCGAATGCATAAATTCATTATAATTTTGACTGTTTGATAAAATTCAATAGCGGTACTTACAAATACCAAAACATTTGTTGACATCCTTGAGCACAACTTCACAAACTCGTTTGCATTGCAAGCCCTTTTAGCATTTACCTAAATCTCATTGACCTAATTTGCCCAATTTTGTTCATTGAGTTAAATGATTTCTCCTAATTACTCTTCTGCGTGATTCTCCACAGGTAATTTTTATTGACAAAATCGCGCACAGATAAGGAAAAACGAGGAGCGGAAATCTTTGTTGATTTACTCAGCGCTTTTATGTTAAAGAGTTTTGCTGAATTTTGGCGCGCAAAACATCATCTCGGTGGCTTTTTTATTGCAGTCTTGGCATTCTTGGTGTCTTTCGTGAGAATTTACAGGTTTTATTTGTCGTGTGATTAGAGTGTTTACGTTTACACCTCATTGGAAGGCCACACAACGACACTCTGCAATGGATTGAACATCGCATTAGAATTATTGTGAGCGTTTGGCGTCAGCATGAATGAAATCAGCTGTGGCAGAGCCCGGAAAAAATGCAGGGGAATTGATAAGTGATAAGCCAGTGTTACGTGCAATATGCAAATACCGCGAGAAGCAAGTTCATTTGCTGGGTTCAATGCCAATTGAAGCAATAATCCGCGGTGTGCCTTATCAATTTCCACGCCGTGTCTGGGAACTTATCGCAGTACTCACTGGCTGACGAAGGCACAGCTATTTTTGGGGCCATTTTCCGCGTGATGCTGATGCAAGAGCTTCTCATGGATGTCCTCAGCCTCCTCGGGCACCGGAGGACATTTGCTGCGCCGCCCGAAGCGGCACTTCACCGCCGATTCACCCGTGAATCTCGCCATTGTCGCACAGACACGCACTGTGGGGAGCAAAACAGTCCAGGGACTCCGGGAAGCCTGTTTAGATCACTTCATGACACAGGGCGCAACAGCACTGCCCACTTTCGGCACTCTCTCTCGCGGATCCGCGTGTTGGGCTTTATCTGCGGCCTTACGCAACGGCTCCTCTATCCCAGATACCCCGTCAGCCCGCGTGCTCGGCTAAGACTGGGAGGCACAGCTGGCCAGCCGATGCCTCCATGCCGCCAGTGCGCGAACAGTGAGTGTGTTCCACAGCGGAGCTAAAGTGGGCAGCTTTTCGGTCGTCTTCCGTCACCCAAATGGCCCACACACGACACCACGGACTCTGCGAGTGACCCTGAGGAGAGGCACAAACACCAGGCAAATGCAGGAGCTTCGCCGATCAGCATCTCCGCACACAGGCGCTGCTTTGTGTGATCATCGCCACACTCGCGCCCCCCGTGCCACTGACGTGGACCCACTTTTGGAGCATTTTTCAGCTCTCGGGAACGATAAATGTGTTAAAAATGAGTGATATCGTTGAACTCGTGACTGCGCGCGCGCCAAAACTCCGTATAACAGTGCTGAAGACTTCAACCGATAGTGAAGCCCGGCTAAGGGGTTCATAGCTCTCACTTGGGAGGCACTTTCGACTTGAATTTATCGACAATTTGACTCAATTATTCAATTCCAATTTTGTCTAACAAGCTTATAAATCTGTAATGAAGACTTTGCCGTAAATGTGGTAAATATTTGATCTCGTTTAGCATCTCTTATTGAGGAGCACGTGGAGGATTTATTTACAGACAGAAGAATATAATCAATGTGATTGTCTACTAATACCAGACCCTGTCACATTTAGGTGAATTATTTTTGAAGACTTTCAATAGAATTTACAGTGTCACATCATATCCGAAGTGGAAGAAATTGCGTGATTTTAAGAGGTTTTGATGCAAGAATTTTAAAAGAAATTATAGCTGTATTGCAATACTTTTGATTAGATGAGAAACTTTCAGTTCTATCTCTCTCTATCAATTGCAATCAATGTCTTTGAATTGCTGTTTATTTTCACTATTGAAAACGTGAGAAAATTTTGTTCTCGCTCTCGTTGATAGCGCAGAAAAACTCTGGCGGCGTTTTGACTCTGTGGAAGGGATAAAATTGAGAAATTACTTACCGATTATCTCTGGACTTCTTGCGATTGTCCTTGAGGATTCCACCCTCTTCGCTCTCCGGCTCACCCTCAGACGGACTCTTACTGAGGGGCTGCTCAGCGTCGTCCGACATGTCAGTTTTCTCCAATTCCGTCATCTGAATCAATCATAAAATCTCTTTGAAATATTCATGAGCATGTGGAGGAAGAAGGCAATCAATCGATTGTTGCCTATACAGAATCATATAATATTGGCCACAAAAGGGAAGGCCATTAAACTGCCTATTTCTCGAGTTCATATCGCCGCAGAAAATATTATCTTAAGGCTCTTAAGGTGCTTCATAACCTTTTGTGTGTCTCTTAAGCGACTCTCGGTGATGAATCACATGAATATCAACTCTAAGTAATCGTTAATTGGTGTCTGTTTTTCCCTCTTCGGAATGGGAGAATTGGGAGAATGTGAAAAATGTTGGCTTATCGCACGAATTGTCCGCATATCAAGCATTACTTCCAATCCAAAGCGTCCCGGAAGGAGCAATGAATGATTTATTTTTATCACTTTGGGCTCTCAATCAATTGAGCGGAATTTTTTTTCATTGCGCTATTATAGAGAAAGCCCGATTTAATTCGAGTTCAGTGAAGTGATTTTTTTTGTTCCGTTGATAAGGGAGCAGATTTTTGTACTTCAAAATTCAATGAACTTTGTTATTATTAATTAGGATTCTTTGTTGTAATTTCAACATCTCATGACATGTTGGTAAATTTTTTGTATGTGACATTTAATCGTCTAAGCAATGATCGGGCAAAAAGCCGGTTTAATGTAGAGTGTGTGTGATTTGTTATCACGACGAAAGTGCTCAACGCAGATGTTCTCGCCATGTGGACAACTCTCGGGCAGTCAAGTTCAATGCTGAACTGAGAGAGAGAGAGAGAGCGGTCAATTGAATAATTTTATGTTATTTTTCCGTCACTACACGACCAGCCACCAAATCCGAGCCGGTTTGCCCAATTATCCAGTCAAGTCACACAATTGCGGGGTGATCGGCGTGAGCAGCGCAAAAGCTTCCGGTGGAAGGAATTGCCGGAGGATCGACGCAGGAAATCCATTGCAGGTGATTTCCTCGTTCGTCGTCTCGAATGGAGTGTGACAAAGAGAGAGAGAGAGAGAGAGAGAGAGAGAAAGGGCACAAGCGGCACAAGAGTAATTCAAAATGCGACACTAATCGGCAATTGTTAATTGCAGTCACGATTTCCATGAATGAGAAAGAGTGAGAAGCGGAGTATTGTCGTGAAGGGTTTGAAAATGTGTGATGTGCACACGAAGGCACAATTGATCAGCCTCTTCCAGATATGCACTATCTCTCTGCGATGTCTCTTCCACTGTGATCGCATGCGAAGAATACAGCGGAGGTGATGAGGAAGTGTCGTGGACAGGGAAGGACGCGACGTCAAGAGATGAGTACTTTTTGTTCGACATACAATCCATCAGAGACAACAAATAGGGCCTTTCCGTTTCAATGCACACTTCCCATGTGCCTCGTGACGATGCACTTGAGAGAATTCTCGCGACTACACATAGAATATCACATTTTCCGCCGCAAAATTGCGCTCGCCATCACAAATTGCAGTTCAAATTGCAAAATATTACCTCTGATCTCACTTCACCGGGATTTTAATAATGGGTATGAGCGTGTGGCGGGAAAATCGGCAGGCACACACAATGTGATCACTGGGAAGCGCGACTGATCCGAGCGGTTCGGATCTAATCTTTGGTCTGACGGGCGATCGCGTTTCGAAGGCGCTCGGATGCTCTGTGCTTGCCGGAGAAAGAGTGGGGCGCGCTTTTCCGCTCGCGACGTGATCATTTTCAGAAGGGTCTAGCTTAGGGCGATCACAGTTCGCTCAGTGCTTTTCTGGACAAATTCAAACTATATTATACGATTGATTTCTTCCTAGTTTGTTTAAATTATGATTTTTTTGGCTCCGCCTATTGCGAAGCCACGCCTGCAGAGTACGAATATTGTCAGAACAGAGTTGTTGGTGTTAACATTGTTTGGATGTTCATGTCACGAAAAGAGCTGAATCACTGACATAAGGCTCTGCCTTTACCATCAGAAATGTAGCACTTTGTCTCTCTTATTCTGCCGCTCAGTAGCAATTCCAGCATGCAAAATCTCGCAAAAGTGATTGAAATGGATGGAGGGAAAAGAGAGAGAAAAGAGTTGAATTCAATCAAGAAGCTTCACACACTTTTTGACGCGATAACAAGTAACTTTTTTTTTCACCACAAACTCTCGTGCTTGTCCGCTGGCAGTGAGAGATGAGATCACGAGGAAAAGTATGCGGAGCGCATAGGCCATATTGTAGAGAAAGACGAAGGCATTGTAACACTTTCAGCATAATTTCATTCTTATTGTTCTTCGATTTACAATAAAATTACTAGAGTGATTCTCTCCTATGTTCTTCGCATTTTCTCCAGTTAACAGTTAACATCGTCCAATGCTCTTCATTCCCACTTCTTTTTCCTCTCCTCACACGATCTCGCGCGCCTTTTTTCTTCTCCATCTTCATCTCCCATATTGTGTCTTATATTGTAGGATTTTCACATAATCTATGCTCGTACTTTACACATTGTAATTTAACTATATTTATATTCAGAAGGTGTTTCTTATTTTGCCTGCGACATCGACTTCATACTGTTATAGCACATTGCACTCGAGTATCACGAAGCGTGACTCTGCGCGTGTCTCTTTTCACCATTTTCACTGAATGCGTTTTCCCAAAAAATGCTTTGGAGAACTTTGCAAGAGGCGCGCAGCAAACACGCTTGCAGATAGGCGAGATTGATAAGCAATTTGGATGGAAACCACCATATTTCACATTAAATAAATGTCACGGTAACTTGTGTATGGCATCTTATATAAAAAATACTCTGATAAATTCTTCATCATAAATTTGTTCTATTCAACAGGATATGTTTTCAACAAATATCTCTCTTTGGATGATTTCTTCTTTTGGTTTGCTAAAATATCTTCTTCATCAACAATCTCTGAGGTTCAGTGATATTTTCACAGTTCTTTTTCAGCCATGTTTTTTTGCCACTGCACTTCTTGCGAAACAATTCCCACTGCTTCTTCTATTCTATTCTCATGGGAGACATTTCTGTGGGGGTTTTGCGACGGGAAATGGAAAGTACTGAAGAGATAGAGTAAGACTGAAGATGGCTATTTTGGTGTAATTTCCTTTTCTTTCTTTGCTCTCTGTCTTGAAGGGGAGGGGGTAATTAAATGACACACTTTGTATGCAACAGGTACAGCAAGTTTTCACCATTTTCCTTCTACTCCACCACTATCTTCATGGCAATTATTATTATTAAATATGTATAATGTATAATACTGACATGGACATACAATTTTATGTTACTCTCTTTGGTGTTCTTCTTTTCTTGTGTTCCTCGTTTTTACCTTCGTGCTCTTTGCTATCAAAATTACACTCACACTCATGCTCAATTATCAGTTTTCCACAAGAGAAACAAACAAAAGTTGGCAATATATTTTTCGGAAATCTAAAATAAAATTCTCGTTTTCTTCATCCTAAGAATTTTTTTTTACAGTCAAACACTCAACATTTAAGTACAGTTCTTACTATCGTTAAATGCTCTTTGATGCATGCTAATTTTTCAATTCACTATTTTTTTTGTCTAAATCATTCTTACAGTTTATAATTGAAATTTTTTTGCCCTATCTTCATGCTTAATTAATTGATAATTCTCCGGGCTTTTGTTTCATCATATTTTACTATGAGAGGAGTAGAATTTGCACAAACACATTAAAAAATAGCTCTCTTATGTACAATATTGATTAACAATTACAATTCCATTTATCTCTTGACCTAGTCATCACTTTCGGTTAATCTAGAGAGACAGTAACTCTTGCTCACAAATGTCTTATCTGCCCTGCTTTTACATCTCTAATATCAATGATTGCGCTCTGCAACAGTGTGATTTCTCGAAATAGAGTAAACTAAACGAAATATTGAGACCATTACGGAAAATCTTCAAATTAGCCACACATTTTTGTACATTGAACACATTTTATCCACTAACTATCTCTTATACTCGCTACAGTTTATATTTATTGGTTATTCTTCAATTCTAGTACACTTCCTCTTATCTATTTCAAAATATCTCTCTTTGGTATGCAATAATTTCTTCAAATTCACTTTGGTTGTCTGTTCTTTGTTTTGTATATGTTTCTTGTTCTTGTAGATTCTGTTCCACTAAATTCGGTGAGTTTCATTGTTGATTGAGGACGAAGGGTGTGAAAATTCATTTGATAAGCTGTGAAAAATACCCAGAAAACAAATTCTGGGCATGTTCCAGCTGAACCGGATGGATTGGATAAGAAACTCAAAAGCTATACCCAAATACCTACGTGGAAACCTTCTCTTTTAGCTGCCGCTGTCCTCGTTAGAGGACCACCTCAGGCTCCTCAGATCGGTCGGAGTACAGGGGATTCGGTCTCAATCCGCGATGGTGGCCAAGAATCGTGCTGTTGCCGTTGAATTTTCGTTGTCTACTGATGGCGCCGAATTTCTTCCTTGTCGTAGGCCATGAGAGCAACAGCTGTTCCTCGGCGGGCTCCACATCCCCAAAGGCGTCCCTGCCCAGGGATGTATGCTCCTCCAGGGAAGAGTAGCGTCTGCAGGAAGCCTCTGAGACTGTGGTGGAATTGCTGGCCGTGCTGGAATCTGGCTTCTTCGAGTCCGATTCACTATCACTCTCGCGTGCCTCCTCGTCCTGGTACTTCACCATTTTCCACTTGCGCTCCAGGAGTGTGCAGGAGCTCGAGTACTGGCGGTGAAGCTTCTCTTTGGCTGGGGAGCCCGGGCCCGACGGAGTCTTGTCACTCTCCTCAGAGAACGCCCGCGTGATGAGGATTCTGGGGGAGCGTCGATGTGGAGACATCTGCGTTGGTAGTTTCTTCATGTTGTGGTAGGTCTCCCCGTTGGATTGGCTATGCTCGATGCGTAGCACCTTGTGGAGCAGGAGATTCGCAGTGCTCAATACTGGCTTCGCTGAAGACACGAAGGAATTGTGAGCTCGAGGATTGGGACTCGTCTTCACGGCGCCTCGGAAGGAGTTCTTGAGGCTCAAGTAGAGTTCTTGGTCCGCTACAGTGGCCACCTCATTGTCCACCTGTTGCAGAAGGACACGAAGATGGTGAATAGGCAAAAATTTGAAGTTTGAAGGACTTACTTTCGGCACTTGGAGGGTGTTGCAACTGGATGTGTGTGGGATGGAGTCTCTGTGGGGAACTGTCGGACTGTCCAAACCGCCGTTGTAACTGATCGGTCTCCATGCCAGCTCCGAAGCTATCCTCTTCATCTGGGGCTTGTTCGCGTCATCACCGCTCCTGTTGAGATTGATCAGCGTCTCAGACAGACGCCTCTGCAAGGCCGGCCTCGCCAGGAAGCCCAGCGGCGTGAGCGATGGTCTGCGCGATCCACACGTGGACGGCGTGCGTGCCTGGATCTCATGGTTCATTTGGTTCTTGGACATTTGCTTCCGCCAATAGTTCTGGAATGTCTTTCGCATCACTTTGCTCTTCAGCCCGTACAGCAAACCATTCACTGGCGATGAACACGTGAGCAGAACGGCCGCCGTGACGGCCAGATGGCGATTCACGCGCACATCGCCTCCCACGTGATTGCCGTAGATGAAGCTGCTGACACCTTGCCACATGATCACTACGTAGTACGGCACGTAGAGGATGAAGAAGGAGCCCACGAGCTGCAGGACGCTGGAGACAGGACTGCGCGAGCGGAACTTGGGGCCTCCGGCGCTGGGCGCTGTGACCGTGGGCACGAAGAAGGGGTTTCTCTGGTGGGTGATCGTAACTTGAGCTGAGAGCGTCACCTCGTAAATCGCCGAGGCGATTCTGTGGCGATGATAGCGGGCGATCATGAGCACCTTCAAAGACAGTCAATAAGAAGCATTTCAGTGAATTGAGCACAAAGGAAAAATTCCTTTTTGAATGTTGATTGAAAGCTTGTGAAATTCGCTTGTTTCTTAACGTCGATGTGAAATTCAATATCCCTGTTCGCAGCACCTCGAGGGATTTTCTTGCACGCGTGTCTGTCTAAATTGACTTCACTCAATCATTCCATCCACTGTCAATTTCCCTCCATCCCGAGGGGATGTTCCTTCTGCAGGAGATGAGCCCGCAAACGAAAACATTTTCACCATTTCTCTTTGTTAGAGATACACGAGAGATAAAGGGACTTTTTATGAATGTGACAGCAAATTAAAAGTAAATCACTTTTATTGAAATTAATTACAAGTGATGGTCAGAAGAAGTTATCGGGATTTCTATTCGAATATTGAATTTCTTGTGCACTAAGTCTTTTATATGCAACCAACCTTTATGTTGCAGCCCACGATGAGGACGCCGGGCAGGACGAAAGTGACCAGAGTGTAGGCCACTGCATACCACAAGGATCCGCTCAGCTCGAAGTCGGGCGTGCAGGCGCCCAGGTCGGGACTGTAGCGGAAGGGAGCGACGCTGACGAAGGGTGGAATGCACAGGAGAATGGCCGCGAGCCAGCCGCAGCCCAGTCCCAGGACCACCTTTCGCGTGTTGACGAGCGTGCCGTAGTGCAGGGGTGCCGCGATGGCGTAGAAGCGGTCGCAGTTGAGGCCGCACACTGTCCACAGGGCCACGGGATGGAGCAGAATCAGCAGCAGGCCGTGCAGCGTGCACGGCGTCTCGGCCGTGATGAGCCAGGAGCCAGGACGAGCGATGCTGGGGAGCGAGAAGAGCAGGAACAGGAAGCACAGCAGCGAATCCACGAGGCCCAGATGCAGCAGAAGCAGATTGTTGGCCGAGATCTGGAGGAGCAAAAACACCCACCTCATTAGGCGATCGCGTGATCTCGAGAGATGATGAAATCAGGGCCGGACATTAGTCAGCCTCACGACAGAGTGATTGATTTTGTGGCTGAAGGCGAATCTTATCTAGCTGAGAAACTTCTTATCTTTACAAAATAATTCGAAGACAAATTTTTTGTGTCATTCCTAAATTTGAATTTCAACGGACTTTTTAGGCATTGCTTTAAAATGTTCATACTTTTCCTCTTATTTCGGCTCTGTATTGACGTATGCAAAGAAAGCGATGATTTTTCTTGCAAAAAAGCCCCAATCAATTGTCTACAGAAGATTTTGCGCTCCAATTTTCGTCAATTTGCCAACCTCTGAACCGGTTTTTTAGCAAACTCTATCAAAACATGCGCCACATAATTGTTCATATCCCATAATTTGGCGGTCAGTGACCCAGGAATTGAGGACTTTCTCACCACAAATCTCAACCTCCCGACCAGCATGGAGCCGTTGTGTATCATTATAGAGTTTTGAGGGCGTTCAGCAAAGAGGTCAGCGCTTAAGCCCCACTAATCGCTGTCTGTGGCTCTATTCATGAATATTCATCCAGTTTGTATCGATTTGGGAACACTATATCCCCTTCCTGTTGGCGAAACCCACCTGGGAGATGGAGAGCGAGCCATCAGCGAATGGCGAACCACAGTGACGCCCTGAGTTTTGGGCACGAGATGGAACATGAGTGAAGAGTAGTTTGTGATGCTGTAAAATTGCAATCAGTGCACAATATATGCGCTGCGGAAAATCGATTTTCCACCATCTCGACAATTTTCAGACACTTTTCCTCATCATTGTGTGGCTTTTGGGGTGCAAAATATGATCATAAAGTAGTCTTTCGTTAGCTTGAAAGCTCTTATAATTCATTTGACGTTAAAAAACTCTGCAAATCGTAAGAAAATTTCATTTTCTCATAAATTTATCTGTAAAGATATCAGGAAAAGTATGCACCATTTCAGGATGTAAAAACTTTCCATCGCAATGTTTCGAAGTTACTCTAAATTCACATAATAAAACGCTATTGAATGCATTGAGATTCTGAGTGAAAACTTTTCGAGAGATTTTCACCTGCTCTCCTTCCAGCATTAATTTTTCATTTGTTCCCTCACTGTTGCGAAGGAAATTCACACATTTTCTCATTTTGTGGGAAAATTTTCCAACGGAAAAACACAGCACGATGAATATGAGAAATTCATGTTCTCTCAAAACTAATGAGCTTAAAAGGATATCTCAGAGAGATAATCTCTGAGCGGGGTTTACTACACTTGCCGCCAGTCTTGCGACCCACTCCAAGGAGGCCCTTCAGTTCACACACCTCGAGTGGGAATCTGTCGAGAGGAGTGAATTCGTGACTGGAAACCTAAAATCTGATTGTGGCGTGGAAGGGAATAATTAAAGCACATAAGCTGAAAGCAATTATTGTCTAATTGCTGCTTAATTGCATGAAAATCAGCCTATTTTTGTAACGCTGGGATTATCTCCTGTTTGAAATGATTTCTCTGTCAACGCATTCCTCAAGGATGGAATTATTATAATATATTTTTGTCATATGATTGATGAATTTATCTCACTGTTAGATAAAAAGTTCAGTATATTATTGATTTCTGAATTCTCTTCATGCTAAAAATGAGTCCCCAAAGGGCCATTTGCAGAGTAAAGTAATCCTTAACAGTGAGTGAAATTAAATGATAAAAGCATTTCTATAAATTATCTTGTGCAATGCGAGAAATTAAACAGGATATTTTCCAGTCTGAAAACCACGAAGAGGATTCCAGTGAAAATGAGCTCGGAACAATTGAGCTTTCTTTTGCAGGGCGGACATGATGAACAGGGTGCAGAGAGTGAGCTAACAAGTGGACTTAATCACACCAGAGACATCTGAAATTCCATCTGTGCTCTTGCACAGGGACGAAAGAAGTGAACCGATGTTTCTGTGGATGAGCTCATGTTGTTCGCTCATCACTTTTGCCCCAGGGATGAAAGGAATGTTCAAAAGTTACTGTAAAAGTCCCTCTCTTAAGCACTAACTCATGGGTGAGGGCGTGATATGTAATGCGGAGTTCACCCCAGATGATGTCACTCGCTAATCCGTCTGAATCAATTCGTTAATCAACTCAGGAGCATCATGGATTATTCAATATGTTCTTCCTGCCTTCGTATGATATTCATTTGAGCTCCCAAAGGAGATTATTTGCCGACTTGTAGTTTAATTAGCGGATTTTATGCTGTCATGTACTTTCCCCCGTATGATTGGGGTGAACTTCTGAGGACGAACTCATTAATCTTCTGTCAATAATCACGCGCAAATAGGCACTCGGGAGCTAATCTGATGAACCCCTGAGCGAATTTACTTAGAAACTCCTTTGCTTTCATGAAAGTTTGTCACTCCTTAAAGTTTTTATTTAAACTTGCATCACGACGTGAGAACTGTAGATTAGAAATTATGCTGAGTTCTGCGAGATGCGATGCTCTGAGTGAACTTCAGCTGAAAGTTCAGCAGGGAGTGTGAAAAATTTAATAAGCACATGTGTCCATCAACACATCTTTAGGTCCACCGCCCTTGTTCGGTGGGATGTAATTGAATTTAGTTCGCGTCCTCTGTCTGGGAATCATTAAAATTGCACTGGGTCCGCCGGAGAGAGAAAGACGAATGTCTCGAGAGACTCCGCTTAAGATTTTGCTGACGAGAATGATTTATGTGTTAATAAGATGGAAATTTTCATCTGTCTCCCACATTAAAATTTTATCAATTCCCACGGCAATTTGGGGGTGAAAAGACTCCGTGACACATTCAGAGGCGAAATCGCCCACCCTAAATTGGCATCATGACACTCGGGGAGAATTTCATTACAGTTGGAGATTTATTTCGAAATATCACTGCGGACCATTTCGTCAAACGAGTTCAGAGGTGTTGAATTCAGCAATGATAGAGTAGAGATCGGGATTAATATGTCCTTTCAGCGATCCTTTCCCATCTATACTGTCAAAATTGCTTAATTCTGGATGTCTGCCCATTCGGATTCACAGAAATGGGAGGTGAAAAGCGCCCAACTCACCTGTTTCGTGAGAATGACAACGAGCAGAATGTATCCATTCATGAGGAGACCAATTACTGAGACAATAGCAAGGGGAACGCCTAGGCTCAGGGGGAGCATGTCGATCTGCTGTTCCCCAGAAGCTTCAGACGGCGTCCAGCAGCCCCCTCAAGTGATGTCAAACAGCTGTTCTTCCATCCCCAGCAATCTGCAAGAGAAGGAGAGCGTTACACTGACTTGTGGCACAATGATTTCTCGTTAAATGATATCATTTTTTCCCCATTTTGCGTCTGCGAGGAAGATTCATATCAGGATATTGGTTACTTGTTTTCACGTCTGGACGGTAAATTGAGAGCATTCGAGGACGGATGAGTGAGTGTGATAGGAAAATTCCATGTTTCTCTGTATCATTGCGACACTAAAGTCACATATAGTCTCTCTTTAGTGCCATTGCTAAAACATTTGTTAACAAAATTCCTATAACTTTTCGAAATGATGTAAATTTCTCCACGTGTCTTTTCTCTTCTTTCATATCGCATTGAATAAATTGGTTTGTACGTTATACTTTTGTTGTTGCCTCAATGATAAATTGTTTGTTGAGGCAAATGCCAGAAAAAAGGTATGAATAAATAACACTCAGGGGGAAAATGTGAAAAATAATAAAACAAACACGGTGACATTGTACCGGAATCAATTTTATCTTCTGACTTCGCTCTCAAGGTGGCAAATTTCCTACAAATTCGTACAAAATTTACACGATTCCAGAGGGTTGAGCATGTCTCTTCGTCAATATTTGCCAATTGTGAAAATTCATCGTTTCTGTAGAGGATGAAATTTATTTAAGCAATATTTCTCCTCACGAATCAAACATCACTGCACACGGAGATGAATGTCCAGTTGCGTGGCGGAAGTGAAATTGATTTTTTGGCTGGGCAAAAATTGCGGCGAGCAGATCATTAAATTTCACAACGGACAGAATGAAAATTAATGAGGGATGTTTCACTGAGGACATTCTGTTGTTGTCATGATTATCACCAGAGCGGAATGACGCGGGGGTGTGAGAGGTAATCTCATTCCATCCGCAAGCTCATGAGATTATATGGCGTGCTTTTTATGGGCTTCTCCTCACACTCAAATTAGACACTGTAAATTCAATCCCTTTTCGCCTAATAATATTATTCATGGTCTCACCCTCAGCGAAAACACCCATTTTCTCGCCACCGAGACTTGGCTCATTAAAGCGTCGCGCATTACAAAGCATCCCCTCAAGAGGGTGAACGCTCTAACCGGTTCACAGATTGTTGCTCAGGATGTCTTATCATCGGCGCTTCTCCGCCCCAGAAGCCCTTGTAGTCAATTGACAATTATGCTGGACCTTTATTATCGCCAGAATTTCCCGCTTTTGTCGAGCAGACAAAGGCTTGAACACATTAAGCTTACAGAAGCGTGCAAAGCAGTGCGGATTTGTGCTCTTTGAAGAGTCACTTCCACGAGCAGAATGACTATCAATTATGGGGTTATCGTTGGATTATATTATCATTTTACCTGGAAATGTTTGGGAAGATGCACAATAGAGGTTGAATGAGTTAAATATGTTAAAGGACGACAATTTGTAGACGGGATGGCGATTAACTCTTTCCACGTTCTCTTATGAATTTCTCATTGAATGTGTCTCTACAACCCCTCAAGGGGACTGGAAAATATGCTCAGTCTTAATTGTTTGAAGCATTTCCAATTTACTGAATTTTCCAACATTTTCAGGCATATTTCACATCACCTCTGCACATTCAGGACAAGATCAATGACAATTTCCCGTTGACAAGGGGCGGCTGTATGAAAAGGGGGCGGACAAGGTATATGATTTCCATTTAGCCGGACAGAACATTTCCCAGTTCATCAATTTAATTAATTCCCAGTGACTTTACAGTGAATTGAAAAATGCCTTCCAACCCTCACAACCATCAATCATGTTCAAATTCGCACGCACGCCGAAGCCAAATGTTGGGTGAACCTGAAAAAAATCACACCCTCATATAAAAACGTTATTATGTGGAATGATGTCAATGTCACCATTAACCCTATTGACTGCGGCACTGTCCACGGAAATTCGTGTCTCATGTGCGTGCTTTTGGAGACAGAAATAAAGTTTTTAACGATTGCTATTGATTGGCAGGTTCTCAAATAGAAAGAAGGCTCGTGGGGAGTTTTCCAATAAACAGAAAATTAAAGAGCGTTTCCTTGAAATAACATGTTTCAATTACTCAGCATGAATGATACACCTCTTGAATGCCATTCCAACTGTGGATATCACCTGTAGCTATGCCCTTCAGTCACTAATGGGGTGAGTCCAGTGTTGACTTGAAACACAATCCGACTCCGGAAGTGTGTAGTTTGTATCATTTCCGTCCACTACACAGCATTTTCCTCGGTTTCCCGTGCGCCGTTGCCGCCTGAGTGGAGATGGGAAATTGAGTGTGGTCGAGACTGCCAGACTTTGGCGATGTTCACGAGAAAGAGCATCAAAGTTGAAAGAGACCTGACATAAATTGCCAGAGTATAGATTCTCTTCCATTAATTTCCTTCCTTTCATCGTGCTCAAGTGCATGTGTGCAAGAGTTTCATTGGCTGTATATTCAGGAAAATTCCGAGGAACTATTTTACTCTATTTTTAAACCGCTTAGAGATGAAAGCTTCTCAACTTTTGCCCGCAATTCCCTTGGCTTTAGGATGGTTCCTCGCAGTCTCATTGTTATGATTCATGAGCTCTTGTCTACATATTCTTGCGTGGAAAATTTATCGGGCATCATGTTATTCATGAGATCCTTGGGACTCATCCTCGCCAGTTGGCGGGAAGTTAGTGAAATGTTTGGGATTCCCAAAGTGACAGACACAAAAGTGGGACGTCTCCACCGAAGGGAAAATGCCATACACACAGTTTCCTCCCTTGGAAGGAGAGAGAGAGAGTGAATGAGGATAAATCAACAGGGAGCTAAATTCATGCGTGCTTTTGAATAGTGGGTTGTGAAGATAACCATCATTTCCCCGGGACGCGCCCCTCCGCCAGTTAGAGGTTGAAGAACGGTGGCATTAATATGGAAATGCCATTTACTTCCTGGGGCACCGCATCAGAGAAAATACGCTCAACTGAACAACTCTCTCGTTTGGTCTTATCAAAGGTACAAATTCTTTTCATACCTTTCCGTTTCACCTCAATTCACGTCTCAACCCCTTTCGAATGTACTTGAGGATGGAATAAGGACGAGAGACTCTCATACAATTCACTTTTGACCTTCCTCCATGGCAATAGTGCAGCAGGAAAATTCGATTTTTCTGCGCTCGCATCCTTTATGATCACTTCACCAGAAGACGGAGAATAAATATTCCAATTTCAATTGAATTCTTCGCCCCCATCCACGTACATATAGTGCACTTTGTTGTCCGTCTCGCTAGAGGCTCTTCCAGTGACATGTAACCAATTGATTGCTGCTCCTTTGAACAGAAAAATATTATGCTCATTTTCATGGACATATCCAGCTTTTCACAGGAGCCACGGATATTAAAAGCAATTGTGTAGATATTTAATTAAAATTTTGCCCTTCCACGGATCCGCAGCCGTCTAAATATAGATCATGCGAAGGTGTAGTTGATAAATTTTCAATTGGCACTACCGATGTTTATGTCAACTCGTTCTGCCTCGCAATGCATTTATACATTAATTAAAATGCGGAATTAAACATGACTGCCGTTTATCATGCAATATCGTGGAAATGCGAGAGTAAGTTTCAAATTTCAGTCCTGGCAAGTGATTTCCAAACAGTAATCACTCATCCTGAAGACATTCAACATTATAGCGTCTGCTCTGAGGTGGAATCGTTAACGCAATTCACAGTTGAATACAAAACTCCTTAAACTACTCAGTGATGCGTTGTTAATTTAATGCAAAATCGCTGCGAGCGACAATTCCCATTTTCTCATTACAGACTTTTTTGTGTACTTTAAAAGTTCAGAAAGTTCACTTCTCCTCAGTCTATTTCTCGCTCATGGCATACTGAATGATTTATTGGATTTAATTGAATTGATTTTACAGAATCATGAGTTTTTTCTCCATATTATTATAATTGCGTTGTCATGAATTAAATACTTTCTATTTAAATTTCCATTTGCGTGGGGTGAAATTATCATACTTGGTATTTTAAATTTTAATAAGAGGATCGTGTTTCACTTTTCACATTCACTTAATTGCTTATTCAATTTTATAATTCATTATAAATAATTCTCTTTTTAAGTTCATTTGCAATTATTTTCAGAATTAATTGCAAGAAATTTGGTGTACGTGGAAAATCGTTATTTCTGGAAAGCTCTAAAATGAATTGTTCGTTAGAAGCTCGTCATCGATATTGTCTTGAGGCAACATGAAGATGATTGAAAGTTTGAGCATGCAATATTTCTCAAGAAGATCTCTTACGCATATTATATCTATATGGATTGTCGATGAGACAATGAGCTATTGGTGAAATGTATGACTTGGAAAAATGCCTTATGGGTAAATTTGTCTCTCTCAGAAATCTAGAAGATGAAGTAAAATAAATACATTCCCCGTTTCTTAAGGTGATATCATAAGAGAGTATAAGTTCCACTAGAAGAGTGAAGTGAGAAATTGCTGTTCACTGAAAATCAGAAATATTTCCAAGGAATATTGACTGGATGAAATTGCAAATGTCACTTCCGTCTCTCGGAAATACTTGACAAAAATTCCCAGGGCTATTTTTTGACATTCAGTGACCTGAATTTTGTAATACAATTTCAGATATTGTTAGATTCCCGGAAATTCCGGGAAGAAATTCACGTTACATTGATACTGAGTTAGAAAACTCACTCAATTCAGTCGTGTAATTTGTGTGAAAATCTGTGTTAATCCACTTGGCGAATGTACTCCATCTGCGGGTGTATTCCAATTGAATAAATTCGCAATATTTACAGTGTGCCTCAACCCCCAGAATGGATGTTCTTGTGCCTTGGGAGAATGGACAGAAAATGACGAGAAATGGAAGCGAGAGTTGATGGAATGGGTGGAGATGCGACAAGAAATGAGGAAGTGTGCTCATTTTAAATGTCTCACCGCATTGTGTTATTCTTATATCCCCACCAGCCAGCGTGGTAAATTTAATTCTTGTGCCCTCATTGGGATGTGCAAGTCAAGTGAAGAGA